CAGGTAATTGTTGATGAATTGAATTGCTTTAGTAGGGAACTGCCTTAGAGGTGATGAATTGTCCCTAAAGGACATAATGGTTCAAGGGGCTTAGAACTTTGGAATGAGTTTAAGTAGGAACATATATAAATTACACTATTATCCTCTACAGGTTGATGTTATTCTTTACTATGTGAAATGACTGGCTGCTCTATTATCAGGTGTTCCAATTCATATTCAATCGATTGTAAGGCTGAACACAAATAACATAAGATTTCTATTCACGTCTGTCAAGCTATATGACTTTAAAATACAATGAAGGCAAAATGAAACATAAGATTTTCTAAATTCTAAATGGAAATAAATGTGTAAGTCCCTACCACCCTGTCAGTTCTCAAGAAATTCTTCCCCCAGACACGTGTGCTGAATGTGGGAAAGTAAAAAACTTAAATGTGTTAGAAGTAATCAGCCTTATGTTTGCGTACACTGTGGATGGAAAAATCATCTGGGACCTTTATATTCTTAGAACAAAGACTAAACAATAACAATAGGTACACTATATAGTATAACAATGACATATTCTGCATTTTAATGCCATTGAAAACCATTGAATGAGTGACACTGATTGCATCGATACTAGCATAGAATTTTTAACATGAGAGATAATTGATTGTTTAAGATTTGCATGACATTTATTAATTCAAGTTTATGCTCCAAATTAAACTAAGGATGCTTTGAATTATATTTTTAAAAAAAATAAATAATTTTTTTATTAATTTGGGTATGGATAAAAATTGCACATAATATTAATTTTCGTACGTAATTTTATTTGCTAGTCTAAAGCATCTTGACAAGTAGGCCGGATTTTCATAAGCGTGCGCATGTATTTTTAGGAAATTGTTCCGGCATGTTAAATTCAGATTACATTTCAGTTTTGCTTAAAAATGCAATTTTAGTTATTTTTAGTGTCATACAAACATCATAATTTGACATTTAGAAATAATTCATTTCATGAAACAGACACGTTTAACTTTATTGAAAACAAATTTTCTAAGTAATTTAAAATTATCATTATGTATACGTAAATTTTATTTAAAATGATTTAAAAGGATCATTATATGTTATCCACATTTAAAAGACATGAAAAAAAGTGGCTTCTAATTCTATTTTATTTTAACGCATATTAAAAATAATATTACTTCAAATATAGCATAATATATTTGATTATGAAAACTTATGATTAAACAAAACGGTTTTTAAAAAAAGGGAATGAAATAATAGTTATTTTTTGATAACAACTCTAGCAACTCTTTGTTCAAGTCATAAACACTTATTGAGCTTCCTTAGAATGTTCCTATATTCTCTTTTAATCGTATTTCTGAATCTTGAGATTTTAAAACGGAAAGCAAATAAAACAATTTTATTTAGTTAAAGAAAACTCCGTTAACCAATCATAGTGATTGGATTGCAGTCAACTTAATTTTTTTCACTTCAGAAAAAAATATCCATAATATATTTCATGAATATTTTTAAAAATGATATAATAATGAAAATATAATGATATGATATAATAATAAAAATGAAAAATAAATATTTTCTTCCTTTTATCTGTACTGACCATTCAAACAAAATGCAGCCTTTTTTTTCACCCATTTTAAAAGTTTTTATTCTTCTGACGCAGTTGGAACACCGGTGTTCCTTTTATATATTTTTATTCTGACTTTCTAATTACAAACAAAAATATATTTTGAATAATCTTAATTATTAAAAATAGTCTAATAAATTATAATATAGACTATATTCTAACTAAAAGGTCTATTAGATTATTGGAATTTTATTTCTGCTGCAAAAAAAATTACAAAAAAAAGTAGATTGAAATTTTTTTTTTTTTAAAAATTCATATTCAAAATTTATTTTGTATATAAAGAAATTTGAACGAGGAATAACTGTTTCTATTAAATCTAAATAACTGCAAATTTAAAAAATTATTGTTTGGAAATTAGCCTTGTTTAGAAAATTTTACCTTTGACGCAAAAAAAAGACACATGTGTCCCATACTGTATTTCATAACCACGAAATATTGAAATGCTAAAGTATAATGTTTTCAACTTATTTTGACCTAAATTAATACAAAATAATGTAAAAATATGTTAAATAAATGTTCTGCGACAAGTAAAAGCAAAGAATTAATTTATCATATTTTAGTTAATTCTATCAGAATTTGAGAATTAAAGAAAAATTTTTGGATGATTTTCGCATTGAATAAAAATATAATTATCAGACCTTATTGAATGTCAGCGAAAGATTTTTTCTTTCAGCCGAATTTTTAAATTCAAATTAGTTATATTTGCCATTAAAATCAGAGAGAGAGAGAGAGAGAGAAAATGACAGATCTTTAATAAGCAAGAGAATTTTCTGCTGTCTTACTTGAATACTCTCATATCGTTTTTCACAAAATAATAATGCGTTTTCTAACTTTATTCCAAAAATAAAAGCAAATTACAATTAAACATTAAATTCTTCTTCTATTAGGTAGAAACATTTCAGTTTGTAGCACAATATTTGAACATATGGTTTGCAGAAACATTTTCAAAAATTATATTTGAACATATGGTTTGTAGAAACATTTTCAAAAATTATATTTGCATATATATAAGCTTCGAAAATTATATATATCTTTGTAGATATATATAATTTTCTAAAACTTTTAAGACCTATGTTTTAAAATTTTTGAATAAATACTTTCAAAGTGTTTAGCACATATTAAAATTAAATTTATTATTTTTTTTTATTAATCAAGATGTTGTTAGAGTAAAAAATCATTAGTTATTCAAACCATTAATCGGCGTCAGATGTATTTCCCAATAAAAAGCTTCCCCAAAAATGATTTTTGATCTATTTTCTGAAATAATTTTAATTTAAATGAGGTAGCATTTATTTATTTACTTTTTGAAAAAGGAGAAAGAGTAAAAAAAAATATTTTTTGGCCCATGCGAAGATAAAAAAAAAAGAGAAAATGAACGTAATGGATTACTCAAACCTTTAGCGAGTTAATTATTATTTTATTGTTTATTTCGTATAAAATATGGGAAATATCTGTATAATATCGTTCCAGTAGAAGGAGAAATGTATCTATTTAAATTTTTGATAAAAATATGCAACGAAGAAGAATTTTATCTTTTTATTTAAAAATATTTATTTCTAAATATTTATTTCTAAAAAAGTTATAAAAAGTTAGTTATATAATTTTGATAAAAATTTAAAAAACTATAGTCTGTTTGGATCAAAGTCAGTTTTTGGAACCCTTGAAAAAAGAATACTTAAAATTGCACAATTTATTATAATTTTTTATTTTCAATTGCAATATAACAGAAAAAAAATAATTTTACTCAATAAATCTGGAAGAAAAATTATTATTTATTTCTGTATAGTTATGGTTTTCACGAAACTTTTATGTGGGGAGGTGAGTCAAATTCTCCTTTCACTAGAGGGCAGGGGCGATAAAGGACAATTCTGGAACTGATATCTCTTCGTTCATGTGCGTCGGCAACCCTTGGACCAATCATTGGTGTTCAATAATCTGAACCATTCTCGTTTTTGGCTTCAGAGAGTGCAGTTTACTGATACTTTATGTGAGAGCCTGTGTTTCTTGATTTAAATATTCCTGAGTTTCCTGTCTTGATCTTCGACTTTTTATTGTGAAGTTTTTAGAAGATTTTTTAGATTTGTGGAGTGAGTGCATTTAATTTACATTTTATTTAATTGTTTTATGTTATTTTTATGATTGTTATGGTTTTTAAGTACGACAACAATGCATTTTAAAAACATGTTTTTTTGGTATTTAACTCTTTACTGTTTTAATGTAACGGTTTTCAGCGCATTAATTTGTGATATATTTGACAAATGAAACGTTAAATGCATAACTCTTTAAATTTTCTTAAGTGCGTAATTAAGGAGAATAAACTATGCAGTTAGATCTCATATATATATATATTTATTTATTATTTATAACAAGGTCAGTGGAAATTTGTACTTTTATTATAGTATTAAAAAAAAAAATTTCTTTAAAGAATTACGAAGGTTTTCTCGAGATAATTTTGAATTTAAGAATCTCCCTATTCTTTACATCAATATATAATTACATATATATATAATTATTTATATAATCAAGTATAATTAAAGAGAAAAAAATTGATTCAGAAATGAATTTTTAGTTAATTAAAATTACATAAAATATTACATAAGTACGAATTTTCTTGACAAAGAAAATTTAGATTTTGATAATTTTAATGGACGAAACTTTTTTTTTCATTTTTGAAGATTTTCATTTTTATATTATTTACTTATTTTTTTTGATTATTTATTTTTTAAACCTTGTAGAAATTTGGAAGAATTTGTTAATTTCTTTTAGTTAAAGTGTAAAATGGTTAATATATATGAGGTTAAGCAATTTGAACAAATTTCATGACGGCCATTTTTTTAAAGTGTAAAGTTTTTATCGGAAAAAAATCAATTTACTGACCTATTTTTCTCATTAAATATATTTTTTTCAATATACCTTTTTCAAATATTAAAGTTCCAATTTAATTAAATTACTGATTCATATTTAAGATAACTAGTTTTATTTTAACTGTATAACTAGAACTACTTAATAACCATATATTTCCTGGACTGAGACAATAATAATATCTTCGTTAATAAGTATAAACTGCGTTTAACTTTGTCAGAAGCTCTTTTCATTTTCTCGTTTTCTATGTAATTTTATAGAGGGCTTTATTAGCATTAAAAACCTGCTCCTTCAGTAATTTATTAAAAAATTTTTATCATATAGTTCGGAAAAATTAAGTTAATTTTTCAAAAATGCTTTGCTTTGATAAACTTTTACTAGGTTTATCTTTTTTGAGATAAAATTTGTTAATCGAGTAACAAACGCGTTAAAAGACGGGAGAAGTAGATCGTCCAAAAACCACTCTTAAAGGAAGATTAGGCTAAAGCTCAAAAAAGTGAGTTGTGATGAATTTACTTAAAAACGACAGAAGTAGGAAAGTGAAAGCTTTCGTCAATAGGAAAACATGCTTTCTTCTGTAGTACTTCTGTTTTATGTTTGTAATTAGTTTTGTTTCTAGCAATGCAGTTTGTGATAATGAGAAAGGGGATGGGGTAGCATATACTGTTTAATTATATTTCCATACCTCTATTTTTTTTTTTAAAAAAAAAGCAATCTTCGACTACTTTTCAACAATGTGCTATTTTCTTTCTTTTGTCAGTGAAGGGCTAAATACAGGCTGTTTTAAACTATTAAAAGAGAAACAGCATTATTTTCATTGAATGCGATTATTGATTGTCTTGTAAGTTCCTCGAACTTTGTCTACAAATTATTTATTTCACATTTGTGTACTTGAATATATTTGATAGTTTTTTCTGAAATCGAAATAAATTGCGTCTTTTGTGCGCTGTATTTCCTTTTCTAAGCTATTTTAAAGTTCCTTGAATAAAAAATTAACCCTAGCAAACGAGGTACAAAAAGCTATTTATATTAAAATACCCTCACACTTTGTTGCCTATTGAAATATCATTTAATTTATGTTGCCATTGAGTATAAACATCATGTTTGATTCGATTATGAGATTGATTGTTGATCAATGATTATGTTAGAAGTTCTCAGTATCTATATTGTTACTTGTGTTGTTTTATAATTTTTCGTTTTTAATTAAAAATTGTTGAGAGAAAAAAGGAAGTCTTTTTACTATATCTGTAAGTTAAGAATTTTATTTTAGTTTTGAATTAACATTTTTATAATCTCCCTTTGACTCTGTTTTTGTCAGGGTTGAGGTTTTTGATGTCCTTAAATGATTTTGTTCAGGACTTGTAGAGCTCAGTCTTGCAATGTCCCAACATGACTGGAATTGTTTAATATCTATTGATTTGAAAATGAAACATTTTTCTCCAGTTGTGATAACTGTACCTATTTCCTTAAAAAAATTATGCTTATATATATATATATTTTTATTCTTAAATTTTAAATGTAAGACTTAAGAGACTGGGCAGCTCTGAGTAGCAAGGCACGTCAGCCAGAGGATTATTGTATCTATAAATATTACTTTAAATTTTTATTAAGCATTATTTATTAATTTGCATTATTATTTATTAATTATCACCTCTAACAATTGAACTCACTATTGGTCTGTCTCATGCCTTCATTTTCCAATTTCTTAGTTTGAAGCTCTTAAGGTTCTATTGGTATTTAATAACTAATACGGAGCTGCTTTTCTTGTAGAAATCATATTTCAAAGACAAGAGTTCCAATCATAAATTGGAATTTAATCAGCAGGATTTTTTTTGTTTTTTTTTTTGTTACTTAATGGTAGGAATATTTTTTTCCCCCATTGACCATTTTAGTCAAACCCGATATTATCAAAAAGAGATAGCTTCTGCGTAATAACCACAAATATTATCATATTTATACTGTGTAATTCTTGACTGTGTGAGTTAGTTTGTCTTTAGACAAGATACACCACATTATTTCTCGAAAACACTTGAATTTGTATTTAAGCGAATTTATGCACCGGAAAAGCTCCAATTCTCATTTAAGCGCAATGATCTCATTGATGTTAGTATTTCAAGAAGTAAATGAATATGAATGGTTAATGGATTTTTTCAAATGAACATATACTTTTCTAGAAAAATTCTTTGGTTCCAGACAGGATGGTAAAAAGTGTGGATTTTTGCATCAGCTTTTACCATTGAGTTTCACCATCTTAATTTCACAGAATATGCTATTTAACAAAGATTTTTATATTTAACTTGTTATTTTATTGTGTCCTTTGTTTTGAATGAAGAAAAAGTAATCGAAGCACTTTCATTACATATATTTTGAATTTTTTACAATATTTTGACATTTTTGCATAAATATTTTTTTATATCCTTACTTTGAATTAAAACAAACGGAGTATTATTTTGGACTTGAGGTTTAAAAAGAAAGCGTTATTTGAGATTGATAAGAAAAACTCTAAAAGCCAATGTTGAAAAGTTTTAATTAAATAGCTTCTTTTGTCTGATTTTTTCCATTGAACGAGAATTGAATTTGCGTTACTTTAATATATTTTTTGATGACAGGGACATTGGGACATGAAGGCCTCTTAGGGCACTCTTTAAATTCCTTTAACTGTATCTAGCATTCAGGCTTATAATTGTAAAATAAAATGAAAATTTATTATTGTATTATACTTTCTAGACATTACTCTGAAAGAAGAAAGAAATTTGAGTCTTATTGATCTACAATCTGTACTGTTGCTGTTTGAGCTGTTGCTTGAATAAAGACTGTCAAGAACTTGATGATCCATAATGTCTGCTTGCCAAATTGAAAGCCTAGGAAATCGCAACATTGTGGAGTTTAAAGGTCTTCTCACATCTAATGGACTCATAAAGAGAGCAGTTTTGCAGTACAGAAATCTGGACATAAGTTTAGGCTGTTCACTTCGAATAACAAATGTTCAAACAAAGGAAGGTAAGGATCATGGACTTTTTCATTTTTGTGTTATTCGTTAATATTAAACTTGTGCTTGGTTATGTTTATAAGTAATTATGAGTTTATTTTTTCTAAAAAGGAATAAAAACTTTGCAATTATGATAATATAGGACAAGAAACCATAGCTAGAATTCACAAATGTATTAAATTAGCATAATTTTATAATATACATGTTTTAGCATATTCTTACGTTAAAATATAGCAATGAAAAACATCACTTGTATTGTTTTCTGTGATATTGTTCTTTCAAAAATATAATTTTTATGCTATTTTAAATATAAATTATTGAAATAATTGATTTGTATTATTTCTAATTATTTATATCACATAATATTATTGTTTTTAAATAGTGTACTAAATAATATATTTGTAGGCCAATTTTTCAAATAAAATTTTTTATAGAATAATTAAAAAAAAAGACTCTTATAAAATCCACCTGTATTGGTCCCTGGATACTGTCACAAATTTATCAAATATTATTCTGCATATCATGACGCTAAAAGTTATTGCGTTTAATATTATTTTCTAATATCACTTTTTTGTAATCTGTTTCAATAATTTGTTTTTAAAAAGGATTTGTTTTTAAAGAGGAAGTTCACTACTTTAAGGACATTGTTAGAATCTGTTCAGAAATGTTGATTATTTCGGAACTATCTAAAAACTCTATTTGACGTATTTTGATTTCACTTTGAACTTTTTTTTGTTACTTGGAATCATTAATTTGGTATTTATCTAAATAATAATAATTAATAATGTAAAAAATTAAGTTTCTGTCTTGTATCTTATTGCAGAGTATATCTCAGTGTATATGTCTTTTTCGTCTCACACTGTGTAAAATTGTGCAATATGCAGTACTTACTGTGTTGTATGTGCTTTGCAATATTGTATAGTATATAAGAAAAAAATAATAAATTGTATAAGTATAATTGTATAAAAATAATAAATTGTAAAATCCAGATCCACATTTTTTTGAATATTTAATTAGTCCAATTACGGAAATTCAGAGATTTATTCAAATTTCTAAAATGAAGTGTTAAAAAATTCCCCCAAGGCAAAGGTTTTACACATTAATATAATGGTTTTTAATTTAAAAGTATAAAATGTACAATAATGACACCTGTTTTCTTAGTAGTAAAGTTAATAAAAATCATTAATTTATTCTGTTTAGAAATAGCTTTTCTTCAATAACAAGCTTTAAGTTTAAAAGGAAAATTTTTTTCTTTCTTTTTTTTACATTTTGTTTAGTATTTGCTAATTAAAGATGGATGAATTAGTATTAACACATCATTTATAGTTACTTTATTATCACAGTAAAAGTACTCATGTACAATTTTGAAAGTAGTTGTTGTCTGTGATTTTTATCTTTATAGTATTTCAAGGCTTGATTTAAGTCCAAAATTCACTGAATGCACCAAAAACCAATTGATTAAAGTTGAATCATATCCAAACTTTTTTTTTATCACATCAAGTAAACTGTAATGAGAATTATTCATTTATGTTCCTGAAAAGTAGTGTTTTTTGTGCTCAATCATATGCTGAAAGGGCATTAGTCTTGCTAACTAATATTCACGAACGTGAAATAAGGGATAACATTTATTTCTGTTTTTAATATCAGTGCAAAAAGTCTACAAATAATAATGCTTCTGGTTTATTATCTAGTCTAATGCTTTAATGTTTTTGTTAGTTTTTCAATCCAATAGTTAAAGCGGTTAAAGAGACTGATTTCCTTTTTGCACAATGCAATTCGCTTATTGTCAAAAATGTTCTTTTATGCGAAATGGAAAATCAAATCTTTCAGGATAAATTTGTGTTACTAAGAATAGTATGTGTCTATATATATTTGATGTTAAATATATGCATTTAATATTTTTGAAATTTATGTTTTATTTGACTTTCAAAAGTATGTTATGTATAATATATTTTTATTACAAAAAAATTACAAAAAATGTAACTGTACATAGCTAGATTGTACATTTTACATTATGTAGTTGTAATGATATTTTATGCTAAAATTTATGATCTAATAAAATGTCATTAGGCTCTATGTTGTGGCTTGATTTGATTTCTTTTAAAAACTTGCACACTGTTGAGTTTTAAAATCATTCATTGCGAATAAATCTTTTGTTTGTATTAATTTATTTTTTCAATATTAAATTTTTTTGGTTTAATTAGATAAGGTTTTTCTGTTTTGAATTATTTCATTTTTTATTTTGGTTGTGATTTATTCTCTTTGCTTCATTGGAGTTATAATTTAATTTATTGCCAATTTTTCTTTATGTTTACTTTTAAAATTTTGTTCTCAAACCTACCTATGTTTCATTTCTTAAATTTCTTTTAGTTTTTATGTTACTAAACTTTGTAATATATTAATTAAATTTTATTCATTTTCATTTGCTGATGCCAGTTTACGACGATGATAATGCAGTTATACCAAAAAATACCGCAATTCGTATTACACGTGTTCCTGTCGCGAGTGCGTTGAAGAGAAATAGGTAAGTAATGCTGGTTTTTATTTATTTTTTTTGTTTAACTTTATGTAATTATGTACTAAATTGCTCAAAATATTATTAGTTTTTTTAATTAGTTTATAATTTAGGGTAATTTTTAAATTATGCTTGAAAGTATGTTATTTTTGCTATAGAGTACATTCAGTAAAAAAAAAGAAAAATGTAGCATGGGGAGTAATTCTAAGGAAATACAGTTTAGGATCAATAATAATTCTCTTTTATTTTTTAACATAGATTAATTTTCTTTTTGTTTCACACTTGGAAACTTACGGCTTTAAATGATATTAAACAATAATTCTTTAATTTATTTTTTTAAAAATATATTTGGTAAAGTTTTTGTTTCACCAATTTTTTTATTTAAATATTTGATTAATTTTTTTAGCCAATATTGTATTGACAAGAAGAAGATGTTGGAAGATAATGTGGATCCCGAGATTACTGATGATGTTCCCGAGGAATTATTGTGTATTGCTTGCAACTCTCTTCTACAAGATGCAGTTTTAGCTCCTTGCTGTGCAAATAGTTTTTGTTATGAGTGTAAGTTTTTACAAAAAAAGTTTATTTTTTAAAAGCATTCATTTTTGAAATTTTTTTTTCTGTATGTATTGAAATTTTGTGCTAAATCCTAATTTGTTGTAATTGTTAATTATTTAATGGTATTAAGTACCGAAAACAGATTCCTCTATTTAAGGATTTCTTTTATATTGGTTGGTTAAACTTCTCATCTTTTTAGTCTTTGGAAGTTACTTACAAATCCCTTGATGTTATATTTACTTTTTAGAGCATTTTATCCCAATTCCTTTAAAGCTTAGAATATGGTAAATTAGTGGTAAATATAATGGAAAGTGTTAGTTTAGCTTTTAGGAGCTTATAATGTAGTTTTTGCTTTTCTTAAATTCCTCCCCCCCCCTCGTGTTTTTGAAACTAAAATATGTACTCAATTATAAATATGTACTTGACTTATTACTTTTACTTAATTTAATTGGTGGTAACCATTGATCCTGCTCTTAAACCAAGCCCCTATATATACTTTTTCTGAGTGAGATTTTCTGAGTAATTCTTTGATTCAGGCAGATCTAATTTTTTAAGTTTTAATATTCAGGTGTTAACCCCACTTTTTTTTTCTAAATTGCATATATCTGCTCTGCAAAGTTTTGTACACATAAATTTTTTACTTAAAGATATTTTTTACTAAGCAAAACTTTTTATAAATATTTGTTATTTTCTTTTCAGAAATTTGACATAATCATTATATTATAGAGAGATGTATTGAAATAATAATTATAATTAAATACAGTTGCATTTAGCTAGTTAATAATTATACTTAAAATGTTCTGTTTTCAAAACTCACATTCTTCAGATTAAGAATTTTACTAAGTAATAAAATTTTTTTTATTATTTAATTTAATAGTGTTATAAAAATTTATATCGAAATAAAACTGTAGCAAGTGTTTTGTATGATATGATATGTAATAGAATTTCTGTTCAGTAGGAAATTGCATTTCATGCAAAAGTTTATAATTACAAAACTTTTAGAGCTTGTTGCCCATTTATATTAATGATGTAATCTTTCTTTAATTATATTAAAATTATCTGAAATGCCATATTTTATGTATTTAAAAGTCGTATGAGACTTTGTTTTACTTATTTACTTACATTTCATGGTCAACTCATATGAAAACCATTTACACAGGTTAGATGGTTTGAACTGTTATAACATGACTGAAACATTAATGTTAGTTCATTAGATTTCAGAATACTTGTTTTATATTTGTATAATGAACTGACTTTAAATGAATGTTTATTACAGGTGGTTATCTAGCATTTTCCAATTCAGAGTGCCCAGTTTGTCATGATTTTGAGGTTACTAATTCGGATAATCTAATTCCATGTCTGTATTTACGAAAGGCTGTGCAAAGTTTCAAGTCTTCAAACCAAGAGTTTTCTGAACTAAGTTCTAAATCTAAATTGCCTGAATTCAGAACTACTGTTGAATTTTTTAAAGCAATAGAAAAGACTCTTGAAACTGAGAAAAAGCCACTGGATGTTAAAGATTCCATAAAAAGGGATCCTACAACAGCTTTAAAGTTAGATAATAGGTAAGCATAATGATTTCTTTTGCTAATTATGAATGTACTAANGATTTTGAGGTTACTAATTCGGATAATCTAATTCCATGTCTGTATTTACGAAAGGCTGTGCAAAATTTTAAGTCTTCAAATAAAGTGTTTTCTGAACTAAGTTCGAAATCTAAATTGCCTGAATTTAGAACTACTGTTGAATTTTTTAAAGCAATAGAAAAGACGCTTGAAACTGAGAAAAAGCCACTGGATGTTAAAGATTCCATAAAAAAGGATCCTACAACAGCTTTAAAGTTAGATAATAGGTAAGCATAATGATTTCTTTTGCTAATTATGAATGTACTAATAATTGGGTTTATTTTCATTTTTTAAAATTTAATGCTTTGTCACAGAATTTTTATTAAAGATTTTTACAACTTTTTTTAAAATTTTTATTATTTTAGATCAAAATGAGTGAAAAATATTCTATTTATCATTTTAATAGTTTATGTTTATGAATTACTGAATAAAAGGCTGGTGCCTTTTTCTGTGTTAACGGTAAATCTTCTAAATACAGCTCACTTCCAAACAAAACTTTTTTCAATTTGCATTTCTTTAGGTCTAAGAGAATCAGTTGTTAAATTACTAAAATTTCTTTGATTTACAAAATAAATTATGAATAAGTTTTTAAATATGAATTAATTTTTTTTAACTACTTCCTTTATGCTTTATATGCTTTTTTTAGTGCAAATATAATAATGCCAAATAAAAAATGCCAAAAGCACTAGAAAGAATATATAAAATAGACACATGTGTCCTATCTCCAGAGGGTTAACAAAACGTAAATTTCAGATATTTGAAATATTTTTAAATGGTAAAATTTACTTTCCACCTTGATGTGCTTAGCTTACGGTAGTTAGATAAACTGTTTTTGTGAAACCATTGGAAATAAAAAGTTGCTTATTCTAGTACTTTAGAAAATTTCTTAGACTTTTTTTAATGTTTTTATGTTAGTTTTTCCTTTTCATTCTTTTTATTGATGTTTTAATTTTTTTCTTCTTTTTTTTAGCTGTCAAGAGTTTGGAAATTCAATAGCAGATGAATCTTCTTGTGATGGGATACAATCTGGCAGGAAGATTGAGACTATTATTACTTCAAGATGTACATATGGACAAGTAAGAGAATATTATTTTCATTAATGTACTTAAAAATTCAATTTTAAATGTTTCAATATTTTCAACTAATGCATATTTACTTTACTCTTGAGTTTTAAGCTCTTATGAGCAGTGTTGTTGAGTTCGTTTTTTGCCCTTAATATTTACTATCGGTAATTTCACAAAAAATTCTAGTATAGGAATAAGGATCTTTCTATGAGTATTTTAAACTATATTTGAATTTTCTTTTTCGCCATTTCAAATAATACTTCGAGAAATCTTTTCAATAGTTCTTTTCTTAAATGTTCAATTATTAACATGAATTCTAAATTTTTTGCATGAATGTCGTGCTGTTTTAGGTGCCTGAATTAATTGCTGCTTAAGTATTTTTTATTTTGAATGTCAAGCTATTTTTTTAAGAAGTTGCTTTTTTTTATTTTACTTAAGTTTTTTTGTTGTAAGATTCTGATATTTGATTTTATTAAAATTTTTAGCAATAACTGTAAATAATTAAAATAAGTTTTAATATGGATTCTTTAAGAAAAATTGTGAGGCTTTGATTACTATTTCTAAGTAAAGTTTTTGATGCATTTGATATATCCTTGCTTATGATGTTTGGTATAATTAATTTAACTAATTTGTTTGAAGAATTTAAATATTTTTCTGCATCTTTAGGTGTGTAAAGTATTCTAATAACTTATTTTCTTTCTTTTTCTTCAGAGGCCAATTCGAGATTCCTATTTTGATGATTATTCTTATTGTGGTAAGTTCCTGATTTCTAAAAAAAACTTTCAAATATTTAGATTAAATGTAATACGTAACTCGTAACAGTATTTATTTTATACCTCAGTGTTAATTTTAGTGTTTTGATTTGTTTTTATGTAAACTCTAAAGCTATTTAGTTATTAAAAAGTATTAGTTTTATTAATTAAAAAAAAGTAGATTTTACTTGACTTTCTATTTAGCATTGTTTTTAATACGTTTTCAGGTTTTTGTTACAAACATTGTAAGGCATATTGATTCTTTTACGATGTTTCACGTGTGATCCAATTCAAATTTTTATATTTATTTTCTCCAGAAATTAATTTTTCAGGATGTTACTGATTGTTTACCTGTTGCTTGCATTTTTTAACTTTTGATTTCTATTATATTTTTATTTATTTTTTTCCCCAGATACATCTGATGACATTTCATATCTTGAAGCAGAACCATTGCCACCAGGAGTAGAACCTTTGCCTTGCCAAATTCCGACTTACTTGAGTTGTCGTTATGAAGTGCATGATTCTGCAGTCACTTTTAACATGAATGAAAGGTAACTTTATTTAATGTGTTCTTTATTTCTTTTCATAATTTTTCAAAAATATCATTCATGCTTTTTTTTATTTGTAATTGCACCTGTTAACACGCCTTGTTAATAAACAAGAATTAGAAGACTGATTGATTGAAAATATTAACCTGTTTGTTAATATACTGTAACTCTTTTGGCTCATCCACAATTCGAGGGTTTGTTAAGGAATTTTAATTGAGTAACATTGTATGAGTAAGGTTANCTTATTTACTGAGTTCTTTATTTCTTTTCGTTTTTTTTCTCCAAAAATATCATTCATGCTTTTTTGTTTTGTAATTGCACCTGTTAACACGCCTTGTTAATAAACAAGAATTAAAAGTATTAACCTGTTGGTTAATATACTGTAACTCTTTTGGCTCATCCACAATTCGAGGGTTTGTTAAGGAATTTTAATTGAGTAACATTGTATGAGTAAGGTTATAATTTCAAATACGATATTTTATATCTTTTTTATTAAAACCATTTGAGGTGTATAGATTAGTTATGAAATCTAGTGTGATTGTGGATTTTATAAACGTTCTTATCAATACAATTAACTTGTTCTTACCAGCTTGTGATGACTTATTTTCCCGGGAATTTTTAGTAACTAGTTTAAATTTAGTAATTGAAATTAAAACATGAAATATATTCCCTATCAATTAGACATGTTTAGAACAAAATTGCTAAATTAGGTATTAATTTAATGATTGAATTGGGGATTTAAATATTTTTTTTTGTGAAATAAAATGATTACCTAACTTGCAGGAAATAAAGTCTGTACAACAAGCATGGATTTTATTTCAGTTTACATTTTTTACTTTTTACTACTCAGTAACTCATCATTAGATGTCAAAAGTTATCTACTACATCAATATTGTTTTATCCCCATTTATCCATATTTTAATTATCTTTTACATGAAAACTAAGCACTTACATTAGTTAGGCTGAGTAAAATCATCAGTTTAAAATCAAAGAATTGCGTTACTTCATTTATTATTAATAAATGCATAATGTATGTTTTTTTTCCCTTTTGGTGTTCTCGGACCACAGAGTCATAATTCATTAATTACATTTTTGTTAATATTGATGCATTAATAAAGCTTACCATATTTATTATTTAAAATCAAAGCCAATAAATAGAGCTTTCATAAACCGAACAATCACGTGTATCATTTTTTAGTTGTTCTTGAAAATTCGTAACATCTTATGTCTATAAAAGTTCAAAGTGATGGCCATTGAGACTTTTATTTTTAACTATTGTAGTTTTTGTGTAAAGACTGTGTATCTGTTTCTTTTTTTTACAAGCAAAGAAGTTTGTTATTTTAAACTTATAATTTTTTTTCTCTTTATGTGTTTTAGGAGTATCAATTATGATTTGGAAACTTTGAATCGTAAAAAATATGACAGAAACCATTATGGAGAGGAATTACCTCGCAATAAAAGTAGAAGCTCTGGTCATCCTAGTTATGAACACGTGTTGTCATCTTCTTCTAAATCTTTGTCTGACTCAACTAGTGAAAAATCGCCAGATTATCCTACAATTCTCCCTGGAATATCAAAAATACATTCACATTCCGATTATCACTCTTCCACCAGCACAGAACACCGATCTAGTCGGAGATCAGCCAAACGATCAAGATCTTCCAAGTCTCGTCCACGAAAGAGATCCTCTTCTTCCAGAATATGCTGGAAATCTTCTAATTCTGATTCTCGATCTTCTACCGACAAAGAGTCTCAATCTAGGAAGAAGTCAACCAAGCGAACCAGGTGTCATCTTGGAAGGAGATCGTCTTCTCCCAAAGAACACTGTAGATCTTCTCACAGGAGGGTTTCGTATTCCAGAAATCTCCCTTGTCTTTCTTCTGATTCTGGAAAGTTCTTTCATCCTCCCCAGGTTGTTGGTTCTGATAAAGGAGACATTGTTCAGAAAGAAGAGATGTTCCGTAAGAAGCACATAGGTGAAAAGGAAGTGCATATTGAACAAAATAAGTCTTTGTATCAGAAAAAGCCTCGTTTTGAAGCACAATGCTCCAGCATATTCTCTAAGCCTATTGATACAAAAATGTCTCTCGACAATTTTGAACCAGATTATGAGCCGGAAGATATTGTCATGAAGGCGTCTGAAAGAAGAAGTGTTTTCCAGGAACATAGTGACAAAAGAATAAAATTGGAAGAAAATGGATGCTATGTCAGCAAAAGAGTTTCTTGTATCAAATCTTCTCCAGATGAAGAATGTTCAAGTTCTGATAAAGAAAATGCTTATAAAATTAAAAAATCATGTCACAAAAAGCGTAAGAGTGTTCATTTGAAGAAAAAAAGTCACAAATCAAAAAGAGAATGAAAAAAAAATTGTACCTATTTTGATCTGTTGAAATGAATCTGTTTAATCTGTTGAATTAAAAAAATTGTGATGTCTCTATTTTCTTCAAAATGTGATATTTATATATTTTGTATACTAGTCTGCTTTTAACAGTTATGTAAATTAGTGTGCTAAAATCTAATTGATTCAGTAAATGACACAGAATGAGCTTTTATTAAAATTATCTTGTTTTTTTATTTGTTTTTTCATTTAGAGAATACTTCTTTAAATGTAATATTTTATAATGTGATAAATTGACCATTCCTGTTTTGAGTATGCAGGAATTCACCATTGGAAATATTTTTTTTTACTTGATTTTGTTTTAATGTTGTTTTTTTAAAATACAATATTTTAGTGTTTTGCGTACTTGTCTATGCTTAAAGTTTTTGCAGAAAGTGACAATGAGCAAATTTTTGTTTGACTATTAAAATTATGTTATATTTGATTTCTTTTTTAATTTATATATTTTCAAATGTAATTTTTCATAAAATGATTATTTGACAATTACTGTATTAGTATGCAGCAAATGACGATGAACATTTAATTTTTGTTCAGATTGTCAAAACTCTGCCGTAACTGATAAAATTAATATTAACTATTTTAAATTAAAATTTCTGTATTTTAAAGTCCTTATTATTTTATGTACATTATAAATAATGCACACCCTGAAGTCAGTATAACGTTGCATAGTATTTTTCTTACTTATTGAATGTTGTTTTCTAAATAAGTTTACTTAAATTGCAGAAATTGACAAGGAACAATTTTTTGTTTGGCTATTAAAATTATGTTATATTTGATTTCCTTTTTAATTTGTATATTTTCATATGTATTTTAAAGTTATATGTAACTGTATTTTAAAGTTATTGTTATTTTATGTACATTCTAGATAATGTACAAAGTCAGTATAAGGTACCCTAAAGTCAGTATAAGTTACTTTTAATTGCATAATACGGAACATATTCATTTTTTTATTGTATTTTTTTTGTTATTCAACGATCTGTTTAGAAATCATTGTTTTCGTTTGTAATTATTGATGTATACTTATGTTAGGATTAACTCAATGTTTTAATTGTTTGATTAGCTGCTGCTATAGATTTTTCTTATTTTATGTGCAATACATTTTTTTGTTCTTTATCCTGTAACACATTTTTTTAAATGGAGAAGAATTGTATTATATATTTCAAAATACATATTAATGAGCGTTGCTAATTCAGTAATTGTATATTGTTACTATTTTTCATACTGTGCTTTATTTTTGGAAAGAATCTTTGTTTTTTATTTACAATATTTTTTAAAAACTTGTGATATTTATAAAACTTTGTTCAATAAAATAAATGTGTAAATTATAATTTTTTGTATTGTTTTATTTATAATTATAAACATTTATATTTCAATAAAAGGAAATGCTTCTTAAAGGACAATTTATGTCAAATCGAAAGAGCAGAACATATTATATTTTTTTATAAGGTTTATAAATTTTTTAACTACAAGTGTTCAATCGTTATTTTGATACAATTAGCAGGAATCTATTTCAATGGTGTTTTAGAAAGATTTTTAACATTGTCTCACTCAATCTTTTTTTTAAAAACAAGTTTTATCCATACAATTTCTATAGATATATCTAGTTTATCTTTAGCTTTGTAATGTGTATCTTATCTAATCTACCCATTTCATTTTCTTTCAGAAGAAACAATTTTCATTTTCTTTATCAGTTACTGAATTATTATTAAAGGGAGGAACTATAACAATTAATGAAGTGTTGCCGTTAATTTTGTTAGGAATTGTTGTCTAAATAAGAATAAATGATAATTAATCTTTTTAAACTGTGAAATTTTAGTAATGTCTTAAAAATTCTATGATTCTTTTTCAATTTGGAATTTAACGTTAGATTTATTTAGGTGAAGAAATTTATAAAATATTTAAACTTATTCTCATCACAAACATACGAAAAAATATTTCAAATTATGTCCGTTTTAAAACTTAATTTCTACCACATTCTTGTGATTTTAGAATTTTGTTACTGTTTTCACTCAGTTAATCGTTCCCAGCATAAACTTTAAATTGCATTTAACTAAATACAGAATTAAAACCATAATTTTGTTAAGGAAAATTTTATTCAAAAATGCATTATTTCAAATAAGTTCACATTTACATCTCAAATCTGTTCCATGCGATTAATAACACTTCGCAATTTTATAAATTGAATAAAAGAATAGTTGAAAAACACCAATTCACTTAATAGAGCGTTAATTTATCCCAGTTCACTAAATTATCAATTTGAACAATCATATCAACGGGTACTTTAAAAATTTTTTATTGACCATATAATGTAGATAAGAGAAGAGATAGATTGAAGTACTAATTTTTTAAAAATTTTGCATTGGCTAGGCTAAGACGTGATGGACGGTCGTGATTTTCAAGAGATTTTGAAGCTTAATGTATAATCGCGTGCGCAAGTTAGGAAGTAACTTTACATGTTCGTTAACTATTTTATTAATTTTTTAATGTTAATTCGGCGCACTTTATCTGTGCATGCGCAGTTACTACAAAATATGTGTACGTGAACTTGCTCGATACGGAAAACTGCGAAGTTTTCTAATAGCTTCAAACTTGGTTAGAAAGAGGTTCAACCATTTCCATAATGTAACGAGTTCTACTTTTGTTATATTGTTTTGATTTTAAACAAGTTGAGGGATGATATTTATGTTTCGCTTGTAAGGTCGGTTAACTTTGCTGCGTCATAAAAAATCTCGCGTGGTCCATCAGTTTAATTGGCAATACCTAAAAGCCGAATGATTTTCTGAAGAAATTACAACTTTCTAAATGTGGTCCAACTTTAAGAGTATTTGTTTTTTGCTCAAAAGCTTTGTATCGATGCGTTCTCTTTGAATATTTTGGCCATGGTATACTTGGGAACCTGAAAAGAAATGGTTTAATCAATGCAGATATCAGAAAACGTTGAAAGTGGTTTTAAAATATATTACTAAAATTTTTAAAATTTATTACTAATTTTTACCAAAATTTTAAAATATATTACTGAAAAAGAATTCAACTACATGAAATTTTTTTCTTCAAAATGAAGAATAATTCATCATTTATCACTCGTATTATTTAATAATGATATCAATTAACAATAATTTAGCATCATATAACGCACACGAATAGTATCACTTGTATTATTATGTATAAATCGCCAAATAAAAAACGAACCACCCAAAATAACTTCAAATCTAATGATGGGATCTTTACGAAATCAGATGCAAGAATGCACTTACTTTAAATAAATAAATATACCTTTTTATCGACGGATTCGGATTTCGAATACCCGAAATATAGGGGGTAGCCAATCTGGGAAATAGCGTCCCAATAGTTTGGTCAGGGAAGCGTTACAAAACTTGGACCCCTTGATGTTAATTTTATTTTTTTGCCTATTTCTCTATATCTAAACAATAACAGACATTAAATGAAGATCTTTCTGCGAAAAAGAGTCCGCAGTGGACTGATCGTTACGACACGGTTCCCAGCAGATCACCGAAGTCAAGCATCACTGGCTGCGGACAGTGTGCGGGTGGGTGACCTCTTGGATCAGTCTGCGTAGGGACCGAGGGTGTGCGGTATTGGTCCTCGTTAAACTGTTCTACCGTAAAGTGCTCGACTTCGCGTGCAGGTCGTTGGGCTACCGAAGAAGGGGTGCCATCCCCTCTGCAGAGGATCAAAATTGTGATGGCTTGTCTTCGGATCATCCTCAGGGATGTTTCCCAGACCGTCGCCAATAGCCCATTGTGCAGCTCTAGTGCGACGTAAAAAATTAACTACAGCTACAACTTCTGCGAAAAAGAACCATCGTTGTTATTTGAAAGTTAATTAAAACTTATCATGTTCTAACAATAAATTTAGAAATACAATATACAGGGTCTTTATAATTAAAGTTCCATTTTGAAATGGCTATAAAAATAAAACTACCCGACCAAATGTCATCAAACTTGGTAAATGTCTATAAGAGGTCATGGGATTTTAGTTCCCGCAGAACGAAAAAAAAGTTCAAAAATTTACCACCAGCGGAGAATGGCGCTGTATGCAATAATGTTAAACAAATGTGAAATATGCAAATTTGTTTTACACGTCTTTTACCGTAAATTTGCCTTAAACCTTGCGGTGTCATTGGACCTCGGCGTTTTCCTCTTACAGTACGGAACTTTTGTAAAGCCCTCCGTTCATTGCTGTCGCATTCATAGTAACATTTCACGAGCAAAGCAGTCTTGCATGGTTATAGACATTGTCGACTCAGAACACTGACAGCTCAGAGAAGGCGCCTCACTTTTATAACTGCAAAGTCACATGAAGTTCACATTTGTTTAACACTGCATACAGCGCCATTCAAATTTTGGAACTTTTTTTTTCGTTTTTTTTTCTTCTTTTTTTGTTGCGGGAACTAAAATTCCATGACCTCTTATAGACATTTACCAAGTTTGATGACATTTGGTCGGGTAGTTTTATTTTTATAGCCATTTCAAAATGGAACTTTAATTATAAAGACCCTGTACTTACCCATTTTTAGCAAAACTTGTCCAGACATGTACCATTTCTAGACTTAGCTGTACTTCATATGCTGTGTAATTCTGTGGGTACCTCAGAGGGTATCCGAATGCGAAAGGGGTTTCATCGAAATGGACCACACCCATCCACGGTGCGAAAGGGGAGTTGGAGGGTCGATGTTTAAAAAAATAAAAATACACATTGTCATTTTTTTGAGCCACTGTCTCAGCTAAGTAAATCGACGGGCAAATTCGGGTGAGATCCCCTATTGCAGCTTGTACCTTAAAAAGTAAATAAAAGTAACAAATAAATAAAAAAAGAATTTACAGCTGAGAAAAATAAGAGTCAGTAAAATACATCTCTATATTAAAAAGTAATTACAAGTGTTGTTACTGAGATCGATGAATATTTTCGCCATGCCTCGTTTTTACTCTCCCCAAGTATGTATGAAATGAAAAAATTTCAAATTTTGCATATTTTTAGGGCTTGAGAACCATATGATACTAAAATATTATTGATAATGATATTAGTTTTTCAGTTATTTTACGCCGAAGTTGAAACATCTTTTGTGCTGTGTAATTCAGCTATAACGAAAACTACAATATTGGATTTTGTAGTTTTCGTTTTAAAATTAGGATTTTGTGATATCATGCACTCTGCTCAGCCGTAGTTGAATAATCTAACGATGACTTTATTAGGAGAAATCTTTTCTTATTTGTTGATTTGTTACGCATGCGCTCTGAAACTCTTGCTAAGTAGAATATTTTTGCCTGCTCACGGGTTAGTTGAATTAGCGATTTCGCGACATCATGTTTTACTCTGGCTTTAAGCGAGTTTCCGGGCGCAGAACTTTTTTCCCAACTACTTTGGAAGTTTAAAGTATGTTCTAATTCAGTTTTTCAAATTAAAGTTTTTAATAAATAGTTTATTTTGGTAATTTAGTTTTATTTCGTTATTCGATGGCTCAAATTAGTTTAATTCATGTTAGTATTCCCACATACTCTTATTTTTAAAGATTTGTTTGTAACTATATAAATTGAACGAAAAAATATTTCATATTGCATATTCGATATTATTATTTATTTAAATCATTACAAAGAGGTTTTTAACATTTTCTCCCCAGGTTCTTCACTTGCATCTGCTTTCTAAGTGATCATTTTTATTTTTGACCTAATGTCTATTTCTTCGCTCTCTAAGACGGTAAAGAAGAAGATTTTGCTCTTAGACAATTATTGCTGAAATAAAACATTGAATTTAACATGATGGCTATTTCGCTGCTCTCTAGTATAAGAAGATTTAGCTTTTAAATAATTATTGCTGAAATAAAACATTGAATTTAACATGATGGCTATTTCGTTGCTCTCTAGTATAGTAAAAAAGAAGATTTTGCTTTTAGACAATTATTGCTGAAATAAAACATTGAATTTAACATGACTATTTCTTTGCTCTCTAGTATAGTAAAAAAGAAGATTTTGCTTTTGAACAATTATTGCTGAAATAAACATTGAATTTAACATGATGACTATTTCTTTGCGCTCTAGTATAGCAAAAAAGAAGATTTTGCTTTTGAAAAATTATTGCTGAAATAAAACATTGAATTTAACATGATGATTATTTCGTTGCTCTCTAGTATAGTAAAAAAGAAGATTTAGCTTTTAAACAATTATTGCTGAAATAAAACATTGAATTTAACATGATGGCTATTTCGTTGCTCTTTAGTATAGTAAAAACGAAGATTTTGCTTTTAGACAATTATTGCTGAAATAAAACATTGAATTTAACATGATGACTATTTCTTTGCGCTCTAGTATAGTAAAAAAGGAGATTTAGCTTTTAGACAATTATTGCTGAAATAAAACATTGAATTTATCATGATGACTATTTCTTTGCACTCTGGTAAAGTAAAAAAGAAGATTTTGCTTTTAGATAATTATTGCTGAAATAAAACATTGAATTTAACACGATGACTATTTCTTTGCTCTCTAGTATAGTAAAAAGGAAGATTTAGCTTTTAAACAATTATTGATGAAATAAAGCATTGCTTTTGACAAAATGCCCATTTTTTTATAGTAAAAAAGTAGGATTAGCTTTTAGTCAAATATATTGATCAAATAAAACACTCTGTCCATTCGAAATTCCAAGAATTGTATTAACTGAGTTTATTCAAATGAACTATTTTTAGTCTAAAAGTCATTGCTAAGCAAAGAATAAAATTTTATTCCCTAAAATATTTTCAGGCTGAAAACAACCAGTTGGTAACCAGGCAGAAGATTCAGACTATTCTACTCTTAATTACTCTTTACATGAAAATTAATTTTATAATAAAGTCCTTGGAATTCGAAGCTCATTCCTCATTGTTTCCTTTTCTTTATTTGCCTACCATAGCGCAATCCCAGGTTAACTGCGTCAGCTGTGTACAGTACGAAAGAAAATGCATATATAAAACGGAAAACCCAGGATAATTTCCCGAATAATGATACGATCTTCACATACTAAGACTGCCGAGCCGCGACTACTCAGGGGATAGAGCGTTCGCCTTTCAAGGAGGCGAATCCCAGTCGATGCGAATTCCGCATCCGGCTTGCACCGACCACAGTGCTGACGTGAAATATCCTCAATGATAGACGAATATCATGGGTTAGAGTCCCCTTGCCGCCAGATGAACCATAAGAGGTTTTTCTCTTCATGTAACGCAAATGCGGATTACTTTCATTAAAAAGATCTCCACCGGACCCATTTCTTCCAATACTTGGTCGAGGAGTTCCATTGTCTTCTGGATCGGGTTCAAAATTACAAGACTACGGAGTTGAACATTAGTAGTCGTAAACCAATTAGATTGGGTCGGCTCATCGGCGGTTATAAAATGTAAAATACTAAGACTGGCAGTAGTGGCTCAGGAGATAGAGAGCTTACCTCCCAATGAGGTGACTTGGGCTCGAATCCCAGAAATGGCTAATAGATACGAATTCCACACCCAGCTCGCACCTACCACAGTTCTGTAAAAAATTATTCACAGTGGATCATGGGTTAGAGTCCTCTTGCGGTCAGGCTACCCGTGGGAGGTTTTCGTGCTTTCCCCTCCTACGTGATTCCATCCGCCCTGCTTGGGTTCGAAATTACAAGGCTACGAAGTTGAGCATAGTTGATAGTCGTAAACTGAGAACTGGGGCAGTTTGTTCAACGCCGGTGATAATAATGCTAAGATTCAATCTATAATGGTGTTCAAGGGCCTAACCTTAAATAATATACTAAATAACTTCTTCTTCTTCTTCATTGGCCTGACAGCCCAGGATGGGCCCTTGCCTCAGGCAGAATACTAAATAACTAGAGCAGACGATATTTTAACTCACAAAATTTAACACTAAAACGTATTTTCTCTGAATTAACCTACCTGTTTTACGACAGGTTCGGATTCTTGACACTCAAAATCTGGGTGTAGTTCGAAAATATGGTCCCAATATTTTGGTTAGGTGAACGGTCGAAGGTTTGAACCCATCAGTTTAACTTTACTTTTTGAGTATTTCGCAAGATTTCGAAATTTTTTTAAGCGAATTGATATTTTTTTTCTTTTTCCCCTTAATTGAAAAATTGATTAATCCAAATATAATTTCACGCAAAAAGTTATGTTTTGTAATTGTTACTTGTTTTTATATCGCTAGAAAAAACTTTAAATTGATACAGTTGCTAAGCAATTTTTTACACTAATTTAATCTATATAGTTTTGAATGACAAATTACAAAATTTGAATAGAATTAGCTGAATAGATATTGAGGAATAAGAATTTTAAAATATGACTTTTTTCAGATGGTGAATTGCCAAAGGAATGAAATTATCCTCAAGAGGCCCAAATCTTCAAACGCTCTCTTGGCTAAACTATTGAGACCATATTTTAAGTAATCTGGCAGCTCCCCCCTTATATTTTGAGAGCCACAAATTGGAATTCGCTATAAAGAAAGTATGTACATTCAGTATATGTATTCAGAAAAAGTACATCTTTGTGCTTTATTTCGTAACTAAGGAAGGCGGGTATCCCAGTAGTTAGAGAATCGGACTTCGGTCCGGAGAGGCCGGGGTTCGATCTCCGTCATGACTCACCGAGTACGTGCAACACACGTGCTCGTAAAATCCGTCGAATCAAAAACCCTGTGGTCTGTTACTGAGTAGTAAAATGGGATCTGGGGAAAATTTCCTTCCCTTCAAATTTAAGTCTAAATTGAGGAAATGGCCTCACTAATGAATGGGGCTGCCATCTATTCGTGGGGTCCTGAAATAAGACGTACTTTTACCCTTGCGGTGCTCGCTTGTCAAACGAAAGGCGCACCTTCTTGACGTAATTCGTGAAAAGGCCATTGTTGGCGAGCTCGGCTTTTCATTCGAAACAACATTAATTGTAGCTGTAACTATATCCTAAAGTAAGTAAAAATATGTAATATATAAATTGTATCTCTCCCCGTGTTAAATATCTTATCATCTTGTTTAAATAAAATGTCTGAAATAAAGATAAAAAGCAAAATATAGTGGATCACATACTTGATATAGAATGTCATCACAATCTTCATCTAAATCCCCTAAATAACGTTGTATCACTGCTTTTCTGTACGGAAAACTAAGGAAAATATTCTTGAGAATTTTTTCACCAAATGTTTTGTTAATTTTCGAAGTTTTTTCGCCAAAGAAGCCAAAAACATCCGTCCACTCCTTGGTAATTGAAATTGATCCTTCATTATGGTTAGCACCGATCAAGAGATCTACAGGCATAAAATCACCTTTTATCAGTGATAGGCGAGGATCGTGGGGTAGCAGATTATCACCATATCTTGGAAAATATCCGCTCTGTGGATTAGGGTTCACATTCCCCGAAACTTTGGTCAAGTTTAAAGCATCTGCACCTGAAAGAGAACGTAATAATTTTTGGTGTTATTCTATTTTGGGGAATTAGAAAATCTTTTTTTCCGTAGTGCCTAATATTTTTCTGAGAACCGATCTTTAAATGACGGCAGAAAATGCACTTTTTATTTTAAAATAGGTAACTTAGAAGAAAGGAATCTCTTAAATGCAATATTTTTTCTTTAAAAGAAGTTTCTCCCAAAATTACTGGAACAAACTTTAAGGGAAGTTAAAGGACATCACAAAGATTCCGCGTTGCATAGCAACTCATGGTCGGAAACTTCCTGGGAAAGTAGCATATATGGCAGTACTTTTACTTTCGTTACTTGTACCGCCGGTACAAGTAAAAAGTACGTACTTTTACTTGTACTTCGTTACTTTTTAAATTTAGCACTTTTACTTGTACTTTCGTTACTTTTTTAGGGAAAAAGTATAAGTATTTGTAACGGAAATGTCGAATGAAATCGTTACTTTTTTCTAAAACTCGGTAAGCTTTCTAAAAAATTTTAATATCCAATTATTCATAAAAATTTTATATTTCATATAAATTTTAATATCTAATTATTTTCTATTTATAAAATTACATTTTATACTTATTTGAAACATTTTTCATTCATTTAAATATGTTAATTAAAAATTTTGTTAACAATGTGTGCGCATTGGATGCTTTTTTAAATAATTTAAATAACTAATTTCATATTACTATTACAAAAAATTTTGGCACAAGTTTTAAATTTTTTAACGTTAAAGTATTAAATTATAAAAACAATGCTTTATTTAATGGAGATGTAGTATGCATTAAAAAAAATCTAAAATATTATAATTTTTTTAATTTTGCAACAAAATATTTTTTTTGAATTATATTAAACGTAACATATATACTATTACGTAAACGTATTAGTTATTCATTTCATAAAATTTTAAAATGAAACATTTGTTTATAATTTTTGGATTTAGTATTGCACATCGTGGATTATTAGTTATTAGTTATTTATTTCATAAAATTTTAAAATAAAACATTTGTTCATAATTTGCACATCGTTATTACAAATCCAAAAATTACCATTATGAAATATTTTAAAATAAAAAAAATTTATAGTTAAAAACAAAATATAATTTGTAGTTTATTGGATTTATAGGGGTTTCCTGTATATGAATGTATTTTTTTTAAATTTATTTTCTAACATAAGTTGTAATGTTTATCAAATTTGTCGAACAAGGTAATTTATTTATAAAATAAAGCTTCCGAAAATAAAAACAAAATTAAAAAAAAATTTTATAGTTCTAATATTAACATAAATCTAAGCTCCTTTTTATATGTAAACAGATAATTTTGATTTCTGGTTTGGCTCCTGGGTATTTCAAATGTTCACTATTGCAGGAGCTTTTTAACATTCGAATTAGATTTTATTCCGTAATAATATGATTTCTACCACTTTCATCTTTTTTTTCATTTAAATAAGTTAACAAATATTTATTTTGAATTAGCAAATATAAATTTTTATTTAAATAAAAAAAAGACTCTCTTTAAGTTAATATAAACTAGGGAAAGAAGAAAGAGCTGTCGTTTCCGTAAATTTTGATATTCGTTTCTCATTAATCAACTATATTGAGGTTTATTAATTATAATTGTGTACTATAAGTCGCGCCAACGATATTTTAAAGTTAGAGGGACTTGCTTACTCGTAAATATTTAATCAGTTTATTTCTTTTCTTTGAACCAGTTTTCAAATTTTAGATAAAATTTCTTTTTCGTGCAAATCCATAAAAAGTTTGATATTAAAATTATATTTGATTTTAAAATTATATTATACGATTATATTATAAAATTATATTATAATATTCTTCCGAATTTAAAAATAAATTAATGTCCATAACTTTCAAAATTAAAAATAATTAAATAAATAACAACAATTTTGCAAAAACATTAAAGAACATAGGAATATTATTCAATAAAATTTTAGGTTACTTTGAATTTTCGATTTCCTAGAAATGTACTTTTAAATCGTTACTTTTTTTGTTTAGTACTTGTACTTTTACTTGTACTTTTTACTCGTTACTTTTTAAAATAAGAACTTTTTACTTTTTACTCGTTACTTTCTTTAAAAATACTTGTACTTTTACTCGTTACTTTTTAAAAGTAACGTTGTCATATATGGAAAGTAGTACGACAGGTACAAGACAGTCAAAGACGCAAGACTGAGGTTATCTAAATATTTATTGGTCAAAAATATTACATGAGCTGTGGTATATGCTCTGTGAAAATGTTACTAAAGATGTTCAAAGTTTCTACCATTACTAGCAATGCGTGCGCTACATCGTCGGTCCAGAGATTTTCGAATTCGCTGAAATACACCTGAATTTTGCTGCATATCCGCAGCAGCGTAGGCGATTCCTGTTACCAGATCTATTTCGGAATCTGCAGGTGTTTCGTACTCGTACACAGCACTTTTCGTTGCACCTGAAACAGAGAAATCCATACTACTTAAATCAGGAGATCATGCTGGCCAAGTAACCGGTCCACCACGCTCAATCTATCTCGTGAACAACAACACCCGGCAGCGAGCGAAGACATTTCCGACCATGGGCTTCTAAACAAATCCGAATACTTGTGATGTTCCCTACCTCCCCTAAAAGCTTGTCCCAGTGACAGATACTATTTATATTAAAAAAAATTGATATTATGAATCACTCAATGATGGAGAAATCATGAATTTTGTTTACCTTTTAGGCAGTTAACAACCTTTTCTGGTTCTTGCTCAAATGTCTTGTTGTCTCTGGCACATCCAATTCCCTTTGCCAAAAGTTCTCCAAGTTCAGTGTCTTTTGCATTGTTCTTGCCTCTTAAGGTGGCTGCTGTTCCACTTTCCATTATGGCTCGATGAAATATTCCATTAAAGGCAGGAGAAGTCATGAACATTCCTATAGAAATCGCTCCAGCGCTTTGGCCAAAAAGAGTTATACGATGTTTGTCACCACCAAAAGATTCTATATTCGAGCGAACCCACTTTAGTGATTCGTATATATCATGAATACCTGTAATTTAATTGAATAACAAATCATTATTTTTATAGTTTATATGCAAACAACCTTATGATATATTATTAGTAGGAGAGAATTATCGAGAGGTGTGATTTTTTTTAATACAGATAGAAGAGATCTACTATTAAAATAAAATTTTGAAGTGTTTGTCAAAAAAGTCGAAACAAGGCACATTAGTGGTCACAAATTAATGCCCTAGCGAAGAAGAGACCAAAAAGCCATCGAAATCTGAAGAATCACTAGTGGAGATGAAGAGACGAAGAACATCAGAACCAATTTGATTGTGCGATGAAATATAGAGCTGTTTCTTTCCCCCTTTTTTTAAACAACCGTCGTTGAACAGCCGACACAAATTTGGAGTTTACGATTACTAACGTTCAACTCCGTAGCCTTGTAGTTTTGAACCCGATCCAGGAGACAAGGGAACTCCTGGCTCAAGTATAGAAGGAAATTTGTCTTCGAGGAGGACTTTTGATGGAACTAGCCCGCATTTGCGTTGCATGGAGAGGAACACCACGAGAACCTTCCATGGTTAGCCTGACGGCGAGGGGACTCTGACCCATGATCCGTCTACCACTGAGGATATTTCACGTCAGCACTATGTTCGGTGAAAGCTGGATGTGGTTTCGTATCAACCAGCCATCGCCGGGATTCGAACTCGGTTCACCTCATTGGAAGGCGAATGCTCTATCTCCTGTAACATCGGGGTTCTAGAGCTGTTTCTTGTAATCTTCATTCAAATCCTCTCTTTTCTTCCGGTAATCAAATAAGTTCTTATTTTTCAGTCCCACCTTCCTTAGTTGTGATTCACCAGTATTCATACTTGAAATGAGGAAATTAAGAGTTCCTACGACAGTTGGTTCCCCTCTTTCAATTACTATGTTTTTAGGCCTTACGAGATTGCTGGAAGGATGTTAAGAGTTGTAATTGCTCCTCTCAAAACGTCCCAATTATGCTTCATAGGGTTGATGTCTGGAGAACTGGTGGGCCAACAGCGAGATAAACGGTCATTAAAGTAACGAATCTTAACAAACTTGCGATTATTATGCAACACTCACTATAATGTCAATTACTGAAATTAAGATTCTCTCTACTCTTAGTGGTACATTGGTGTTTTTTTATTAATCAACGTAAATTATTTCAGTCCGAAATAAATATTTTCTTCTTGGAATGTCCGACATATAACAAATGAAAGTTGTAATTAATGAAGTTGTTAGGAAGTATAATTTTTCACCGGTTATAAAACATAACGTAAAGAAAGCCAACGTTATTTTACTGATACTATGAACTCGGAAATTTTGCCTTACTAATTTTCAACTTAATTTTGTCTGCAATTTTTTTTAAAGTTTGATATATTTTACTTGTAATGCCAAAATGAAATTGTGATGCCAGGGGCCCAGCCGCTCTAGTTTCATTCGTTTTATTACATTTTCCTACTTAACGATTATAGGGACCCTCAATCCAAGATTCCCAACACAATTGAATAACGCACTATTCTTATTGTTACCGAGAATACGACTACCGATAGTGCGTATAAGTGCATCAGATCCGATAATATCGTTGATGCTAACAAGACGCATCGAATGCGCGATAATATCGTTATTATTATCGATAATATATTTTATTAAAATGGTAATATGATGAATATTATACTTAACGATAATTATTAAGCATGATATTATTGGGAATGGGGTTATTTCCGTACTTTGATCTGTTGCACCAAAGACAACCGCCAAGGCGCCAAATAAATTTTAAATTTACAATGAAAAAAAACGTGTAGAGGTTTGCCCGTGGATGGATACGTGTTTTACATTTTGAGTATGTCTCTTTCTGTAATTTTTTTAGTATTTTATTTATTTTATTGAAATTACATACATTTGCTGACTTGTGTGCTCAATATAGGCTTATAAGTCATTGTCAAGTAGAAAATACAGATAGAACAATTCAGAGAAAGACATCACAAAGAATACATCCAGGGTTACGGCGGGATTCGAACCCGCTACCTCCACGCTTAACAGAGCGTTTGAACCGACGATACCGCTCGGCCAGGGAGGCCCCGTAATTTTTTTAGTTTCTCGCTGGCCGTTGCCCGGAAGTAGCCTACACTTAGCGATTATTTTGAGTAGATCATGATACGGAAATTTTCATTTGCGAATGTTGATAAATCTTATTTGACTAAAAAATATTGACCAATGAAAAAAATATATAAATTAAGTTAAATTGGAGAAATATCGCGATAAATTGTTAAATTAATTTTTTGACAATACTTCGGAATATTATTACCGGAAACGTTAGTGTTTTCGACTACTTGGAAAAGTAGCCGCCAACATAAGGTCCCCAAAACCTATAAGTTCCACCATTTTCGAGAGGATTTCCGTTTCAGGTTCTACGGCAGAATTATCGCCAAGTTTTGGCAGTGTCTCGCGAGAAACTAAAGAAGAAAAGAAACATTACTAAAGGGGACTAACTCAAAGAGTACTCGTAGACACTTCCGGGCAAACCTTTATGTGTTTTTTTTTTAAATATTTCAAATTGTAAGTTTAAAATCTATTTGGTGCCATGGCGATTATAATTGGCAAGACAGATTACGATATAAAAATATCCCACCCTATTTTAATTTTAAAAAGAAAACTATCAAAACTTACCCATATTTCCTGGGGCATCTTCGATTCCTAAGTAAAGAAACCCCAATGCCCCTAACCTATAGTTTGTATTCACAACTATGACATCTCCTAGTGCAGCTAATACCCTACCATCATAAAAATCTATTCTACTTGAACTAATTCTAAATCCTCCTCCGTGGATGTAAAACATGACGGGCTTTTTATTTAAGGAACTGGCATTAGTCGGTACCCAAATATTGAGGTACAAACAATCTTCTGAATGTCCAGGAAAATCATCCAGCCATGGGAAAGGATTCGATGAATGCTGGACACACGCTGGTGGTAAATGTGTGGCCAGTAATGGTTGATCCCAAGGTTCCACTGGTTCAGTTCTTTTGAAGCGTTTGTCATTAAGTGGTGGTTTTGCATATGGTATGCTTTGAAATGTGAATACTGGAATGTCGTCAAAGAATACTGTTTTCCCCATGATTTTCCCTAAAGGGATATCGACAGTCGGTTCAACTTGACATTTTGAAGAACATTTCTGTAGGAATGGTGCCAGAATCATTAACATAAACCACATCGTCTATGAAAAATGAGAGAACAATCTGATTAGAATATGTTGAATACTTTGGATGCAGGGTTAGAAAAATTTGTTAGTACCATTTAGAACTGGACAATATATCAGAAAATATAAAAATTTTAAAATATCGAGATAAAGTTATTTCAAAAAGTATTCTACAATATATCGTAAGTACCAAGTCTTACGATAAGTATCGAATGTATACGGTAATGATAGGATGTGACAAATATCGAATGTCTACAATAATGATCGACCACGATAAGTATCGAAAGTAATGTACTACGAAAAGATAATGATTGACATCGATAAATATCGAATATTCACGATAATGATCGACAACGATAAGTATCGAATGTCTACGATAATGTAGACAACGATAAATATCAAAAACGGTACTGTCACGAGTGTAATCAATATTGATAATTTTCAAATACGACATTTTAGCGATCATCATCAAGGACTACATATATATAGAATATAATTATCCGTAGAGTATTATATTAGAGTATTATCGATAACGATATATATCGATAATTAAAATTATCAAATACGATGCTATTATAAGTACCTATTAATAATTTCATTTGGATAATGAAATTGCTGACCATTCTAAAAATTATGAAATTTAGAAAAATTTGCAAAAATGTCTACGATAATGATCGACAACGATAAGTATCGAATGTACAATAATGATTGACAACGATAAATATCAAATACGGTGCTATCACGAGAAGTATCAATATTGATAATTTTCACATACGGCATTTTAGCGATCATCGTCAAGGACTGTACATGTATAGAATATAATTATCTATAGAGTATTATCGATAACAATATATATCAATAATTATAATTATCAAATACGATGCTATCATGAGTATTTATAATTTCATTTGGATAATGAAATTGCTGACCATTCTAAAAATTATGAAATTTTGTAAACTTGCAAAAATATCGCAATATATGAAATATCGATGTTGTGCAGAGTTATGCGATTTTTGGGCAAAATCGGTTTAATGCAAATAAAAAAAAATACTTAGAGAACCATTATTGCTTATTCTAAAAACATTTTTGCTATATTTGCTTTATTTGATCAATGAACCCAATTAAGAGTGATGAATTTTAAAGCATTTAATTTTTCGATATCGAAAATCTAAAGATTCCGAGTTAAGTGCTTGATGAAACAGTACAATCGTAATTGTTTCATAAAGTTCCAGGAATAGAAAAATAAGAGACTATTTTAGCTGAAGTTGTTCAAACTGTATTCTTTTGCTCAAAAATGAAATTTTTAAGTTTTTAAATTTAGTGTATCAGATATTATTAAATACTAATCAGCACTTTTGTAAAAACAGATGAATACTTTATTATTTGAAATTCAATGTACTAATTTCAATAACCACGTGCAATTTTTTCAAAAAACACGATTACATTTTTTATGGTAAATACTATACACAATAGAGATAACTATAATTGATAAGATCTATAATTATTACAAATTGTTATTTATTTCCATTTTTTCGTGCAATTGAAAAGATTAAAGTTAATTTTACTTTCATTTTTTTCTGATTGTAAATTTAGTGATTAATTCATTTTTCATATAATTTTTTAACCCTTTGAAGCAGATGGGATGCCAGTGTCCCTTTCATATATTTTTTCTGACCCTCTATTTACCAGCAAAAATATATTTTTGTGTTTTTCAATTATAAAAAAAACCGACACTAAAAATATGTTAGATTATCGAAACTATATTTTTACTAAAATATAAAATCCAAGAAAAGTAGTTAGAATTTTTTTTCATTCTTATTCAGAAATTTATCGATAATTGATTTTGTAAATTAAAGAAATTTAAGTTATGAATAACTACTTCTGTTCTAAGTAAGAGCAAATATTGTTAAAAAATATTGTTTGGAAGTGGGCCACGTTTGGAAGATTGCTCCTTAAACGCAGAAAAAAAAACATCCATGTTTCTTGCTGCATTTCATAATTATAAATTATTAAAATACTAAATATAATATTTTTCACTTATTTTGATCTAAATTTATGCAAAATAGTGAAGAAAAGTATGATAAATATGTTTAATAAAAATTCTGGATCAAAGGGTTAATGCTAATCATAGAAAATTATAACAATAATATTTTCAACGATACTATAAAATTACTAACATATTATAATTATTATTTAAATTAAACGAATAAATAAATATATTTTCTTAAAGATTTAATAAAAAATGAAATAAAAATAGATAAAAAATAATTAAAGTTAAGACATATTTTTGTAAGCAGTCAACACACACCGAGAAATGCGTTGTATTTTTAAATGTGTAGGAAGGACAAACGAATGCCCCACCCTTCATAAAGTGTTATGCAAAAAACATAATACTTTTAAAATCCAAGCAACTGGTTCAGTTCAAGGCTGATCTTCATCATTTTTTACACCAGAACACATCTTCTTATTCCCACATACGGTGAGGTTTTATTTGAGAAAAAGAAATTTTCTTTCATGAAAAATTTTATGTTCTGTAATTTTTCCTATTGGTATAATTATTTTTTGAAGAATATTTTTTTAAAAAAGGAATTTATTATTAATTTCGCAAGGAATGATTTTTGAAACATTTTTTAAGGAAAAATTGCGTAAGAAAAACTTTGTTTAACTAATGTGATATTAATGTTTAACCTAGTAATGATTTTTCAAGTAAAAATAAGTTAAGCTTGCTAAGGTGAGATCTGCTAAACTCAGAATTTCAAAATTATACGAATTTTAGATTTTTATTTTAAGAAAGTACTAAAAAAAAATTTCTGCATGAGATTTTTTAAAGGGGCTGGGGATTTTCACGTCGCTGATTTCAAATATGTAATCGATTACTCTTTCTAAACTACAGATTTTTTTTCAAATGACATATTTTATTTTTTGTCGAAACGTACACACGTTAAAACGTAACGTCGAAATTTGAAATTTCAAATTTAAAATCTGTTTAGCTCCTAAAATTGCAGATTTTTTTAAATGACATTTTTAGACCATTTTTGTCAAAATGTACAAGTTTAAAAACGTTATTTGTAACAGGGGGTTGCGCAAATGTTGAGAAAAACTTCTAGGGTAGTTAAGGTACGTAATCAGGATTAAAATTTCATAAGAACCCATACCCGGAAACGTCATTATACGGCAACATTTCCGGTTGTTCCGTCGTCATACTTGAAACTTCATTATGTTCTTCTCAGTTACCAATATTCAAAAATGTTTAAATAAAAAAGAATTACCTGAAATAATAAACAATAAAAATTTATCCCCTACATAATTGATATGAACATATAGTATCAATTACACTGTGGAACAAACTTTCTGCTGTATTTATACAAGTACTTGATCTTGCCTAAATCGGGTGTTTGGGAATTTCAAACCTGAAATTAGTTTTGCTCATAGAGCTAGGGATTTTTTTAAAAGAATATTTTTAGCCTATTTGTTGTCGAAATGAACAAGTTTAAAAACGTCGTATATAACAGGGGTTCGCACAAGGGTCGCGACAAACTTCGAGGGGAGTTAGGACACATCATTAGGAGTAAAGTTGTATAGAAATCCATGCCTGGAAATGTAGTCATACACCACAAGGGCGTTTTTTCTATTATGAACTGATTCCTATCGTTTGCTTCTGAACTGGTCATAAAACATAAAGTTTTCAAATTTGTATATTTCGACAAAAAATAGACTAAAAAGTCTTTTTTTTTCTATTAAAAAAATTCTGCTTTCTTGAAAGAAAAAAAAAAGAGGTAAATATGACGTAAGTACAATATAATATGACGTAAGCATATTTTCGGTAATGTTCGACTCCCCCTTTCCCCTTGTCAACAAAAATCCTGGCTTTGAGTTTTACAGTAGTCTTATTTTAGGATTCAATTAAAATAAAAGACATATCGAATCCTAGCGGTGGCTAGTCAATACGAATTGCGCATTTGGCTTGCACCGACCACAGTGCTGACATAAAATATCCTCAGTGGTAGACGGATCGTGGGTTAGAGTACCTTTGTCGTCAAGCGGGAGGTTTTCGTGGTTTTCCTCTCCATGTAATGCAAATGCGAGTAAGTTCCATCGAAAAGTCCTCCACGAAAACAAATTTCTCAAAATACTTGATCCAAGAGTGCTCTTGTCTTCTGGATTGGGTACGAATATACAAGGTTACGGAGTTGAACAGTAGTCGTAAGTTGGTAGTCGTGAACCTAAAATTGGGTCGGGTGTTCAACGACGGTTATAAAATATTAAAAAAAATAAAAGATATAACTTTACATGAAACAAAATTTATGTTTCTTTTCGTGTCATAAAATTTTGAGTTCTTTCCCTCAGAAACTCAAAGAAATTTTTTTCGAATTTTTTCATTCCCGAAATTCAACTTTTATTCCAAACCTAAAATTTTCCTATTTGTAATTTTCTGTTACATTTTTAATTTTGCTATTGAAGAAAATTGTGAAAAAAGGGGTTGAATATCTTACGTAAGCATTTTCCCCCCTCCCCCCTTCGCCTATAATAATATTCAAATCACAAAATCCCTCCCATGGGTGCTAACGCAACTACTAAACGACCACTTACTTCAAAATATAAAACAATAGATTTTAAAATAATTTTTTATTTACTTTATATATATATTAAAATATTAATAAATATTAAAGTCACGTTGTGCTATTTTTTTGTTACTATTTGTTCTTCGAGTATTGTCGAAACTGGTTTTTTTTCTTCCAATTACTCTATCGGGTATTTTATACAAAACTTTTGCTATTTAACTTATATTTTGTTTCATTCAGCTAATGTAATGTGTATTATTCTACATTTTTATACTCCTTGTTTAATTACAAAAATACTTAAAATTGATTCATCTTGAAATATATATATTTTAGTATTTCTCTTGAAATTTATATAGTTTATATATAATGAAATATATCGACACATTTTAGTTATTTCCCTACTATTTGTTTTTGCTAAATTTTTACGCCACTGTTTGATATTTCTTTAATAGTTTAGAAAAATAATAAAAATAATAAATGGGAAATTTTAATTTAATTAAATAAATAAATTAAAAAAATGCTGAAGGCCAATCAAAGTATAGGCATTTTTATTCAAAATATACAAAAAATTAATATTGAAGCAAAATACTCTTAGTTCCTTTAAAAGAATAATAAAATGCAAAAAATTCAAAATTTTTTACCGTCTTTTAATTTTTTTTAATTAATCGTCAAACATGCTAGGGGCAAATTGTAAAATTCACATTAAAGCTCAACACTTCAAGCTTCTTTTTAAAATAATAATAATAATAAAAAATATAAAATTTTAAGTTTTGAATTTTTTTAATTTTATCTCATTTTTTTTATAACTAATCACGAAACATGCTGGGGATAAATTAACTTTAAAGTTTTAAGCTTTCTTTAAAAAAATAATGAGAGAAAATACAAAATAGTATTTTTTGAATTTTAAAAACTAATCGCAAAAATTGCTAAAGGCTAAATTAAGCTATATGCTTTTATTCAAAATAAACAAAAAATTCTAATATTGAATATTTTTAATTTTATCAAAAATTGGAAAGAATAATTTTTAAAAGAGAATCACAGAAGATTTGAAATCATTTTCATATATCTTTTGTATGGTACAACAGTACAAAAATCAGAAAAAATACAAGAATTTTTAAAAAAAGAAAATTTAAATATTTGTCCTTAATATTTGTCCCTCTTTAAAAATAGTTATGCTTTTCATTATAAATAAATTTACTTACTATTAGGTTAATATTCTATGATGAACTTGGTAAGCTTTTACATTAGCATCGGAACGGAAAGACTTATTAAGTTTTCTCATAAAAATACAACCATGGCACACGTGCCTTTACTTTAATAGGCAATCTGCTTATCAAAAATCGTATTTGAGCAGCTGAATTTTTTTCAAAACAAGATTATTCACCATGTTTTGATTGAAAATGGTAATAGTTTTTGCTTAGTATCCTCTAACTCGAGAAAATGCTTAACTGTTCTGGTTTATGCAGAGAAATAACAATTTTTGTAAAAACAGAAGAAAGTGGGATTAAGAGATTTGTAGAGATTTTAAGGACAATTTTTTTTAAAAATCCTTTTCATTTGAATAATTGTTTTGATTTTTTTTTTAAATTTCATTTTTTGAAATATAATAAGACAGAAAAACTGAGACAAATCCATTTATTATTATTATTTATTTAATTATTGAGGTTGTGTCGCCCTTTATGTATTCTGAAAATCCTTGTTAAAAGTGAAAAAAGAAAGAATAGACACATGAAGGGTCGAAAATAATATTTAAGCGAAGAGAACAAAAAGCACATTAGAAATCTGACGAACTACAGTAGAGGAAGCAGAGTGTAATAAACATTGATACATATTTATTGAAAGTTGAATTTCGAAGGCATCTTTCAACTTCTCTGTTTTTTGTCGGTAATCAAACCTGTCTTGTTGTTTATTGCATTAGCTCTTCTGTCCTGTGATTTGTCAGATTTCAACAGTGCTTTGTTTACGTGTTTAAATATTAACTCGTTAATCCCAATGTACATACTTTTCGTCTTAATTTTTGATAAGGTTTATAGTAATACATATTAAGGGTGGTCATTAGAGTACACCCTGTATTTTTTATTATTATAATTTGCTCATAACTTTTGCACTGAAGTATCAAATGACAAACTGTGCCATTTTTTATCACCCTTTTATTGAAACGATCGTACACTTGAGATTTTGCAATTAAAGTTTTCACCCTTTTTCTGATTCACTAAGGATACACAAATATTTACTTGAGTGGGGCGAAATTTAACAGTGTTGTGAATTTCTCGCCATTAAAATAGTCAAATAGAATTTATCGTCAGTTGAAATTCCGACTATCAAATCTCAAAGACCCATGCGTGATTACACTATAAATTTTAATCATTTCCAGACCGGTGCAAATCGCCATATTATTGGCAAAGGAAAAACAGAATAAAGTAATCGGCAATTAAAATTTAGACTGTTTGAGATGCGCAAAGTAATACAAAGGGATTCAAAACTGAAAAAAATAAAATAATAGAATAAACATTTTTAACAAAGGTCAACAAAAATACTAAATTTCTAAGAGCTGGGATCAATTTTTAGGAGTCAATTTGCCATGAAACGGAAAGGAACTAAGTACCTTTTGTTAACTTATGTTATGTTACTTAATTTAGGTACTTAATTTAATCTCTTAAATATACGGGCATCAGCTACCATTTTCTTAGGAGCCTTAGTGATAAAGCACTCAATATTTTTTTACTAATAATCTTAAATAGACAAAAAAGAAGAAGAAAAAAAAATATTTACTCATAAAAAAACGCAAGGTGCATTATTTTTGCAATAAATTTCTATTTTATTTGTGTCTTTCGAAATTATGTGACTAAGTATTTTTTTAAGAGGGAAAAAAATAATTATTGTTCTCTTTGTACTGTTGGAAATATCTCTGATATTTTATAAAATCAATATTCCACTTACCTAAAAAGGTCGGAAAAAATGATATCAAAATCAGATGAATCCGGAATAACAATAACTCAAAATAGAAATTTTTTTAAAAAGGGAAGCTTTTAAAATTTTTCTTTAAAGTTTTTTTCCAACGTACAACTCTTGGATATTCAATGGATCATAAATCTGACTATGGAAATTTTTCGAAACACCTTCACGACAATTAGAATATATCTTCATCACCTTCGCGACTACATTTCCACTAGCACAATTTTTTGTACACCTGTCTCTGACATCATAAGCCATCAAACAATATAAATCCTTCTAAACCGAATAATTTTACTTAAAAATAAAAAATTTATATGACTAAACTTTACTGAAATAAATGCAATGTTTAAGATTAATCAAGCACCATGACGCTGCTAAAAAAAAAGATTTAATCAAAATTTTAAAAAAAATTTATCTATTAGCTTATAGTGCATGAATTAAATTCGAATGAGACTTAGAAAATTTTTAGATGAGTTGCAGCTATCAATAAGTACAGAAAATTGATCAAAAGCTTCAAACTTTATCCAATATTTTTTTTTCAATTATTTTAATTTATTGCGAGTGTTCCAAAAGTGACGACGGTTTGAAAAATATGAAAGGAAATATATTTCGGTTTAAAAAGATATCGTTTTGATGTCTTGTATGCATTGATCAAATTTAGTTACAAAATATTTCTGCAGATGGCGGTGATATTTTTTTTTAAAGAGATTGAAATGAGTGTTCCAAATGTGTTGGATGGTTTGAAATATATAAAAGGAAAAAATGTTTGTGTTTAAAAAGGTACCGTTTTCATGTCTTCTTTATATTATTCAAATTTAGTTACAAAGCTTTTCAACAGATGGCGCTGATAAGGAAGAAAAGCGTGTAGCACTACCTGTCTGCAGCGCCAGTTATGGGGCGCCGAAAGAGACTCATATGTAATACTCTCATAATTATTTATTTCCTCCTTTTTTGCTAATATTGTTTGCCGGACCCGTATAGGCTCGGGAGATAGAGCGGTCACCTTCCAATAAGGTGACCCGGGTTCGATCCCAGCGATAGCTGGTAGATTCGAATTCCACTCCCGTCTCGCCCCGACAATAGTGCTGACGTACAATATCCTCAGTGGTAGAGCGTCGCCAATAGCCCTTTGTGCTTTGTGCAGCTCTAGTGCGACGTAAATGAACAACAACAACAACAACAACAGTGGTAGAGTCCCTTTGCCGCCAGGCGAACCGTGGAAGGTTTTCGTGGTTCCCCTCTCCATGTAACGCAAATGCCATTAGTACCATCAAAAAATCATTCACAAAGGCGAATTTCTCCCAATACCTAATCCCTTGTCTTCTGAATTATGTTCAAAATTACAAGGATACGGAGTTGAATATCAGTACTCAAAAATTAGTTCAACTGTTCAATGACGGCTAAAGATATACGTAATATTGTTTGCTTGAAGCTTTTAACTTTTATTTTTTTAATTATGTATACTTAGATTAATTTTCTTTATGAACAGTTAAAACTTTGGAGAGCAAAAGTTTTATTAAAGATGGAAAGAACAGCGTGCAGCAGAAGAAAAAAAAATTTTGACATTGAATAGAAAAAATTCTTACCAAAGTAGGAGGGGGGCTATAAGTTTTAGGTAACATTCACAAAGAGTGAATACCATAAAAAAACAGGGGGAAATTAAATTTTAAAAGACTTAAAAGAATATTTTTTTTTAAACAAAATTTCTCGATGTGCCATTCACTAATTTTCGATATATGGTCTCTTCTGTAGGGTTTTTTATTGAAAAATAATTTTTCTTTCTTTAATACCTTTTCAAAAAATGAATGTATTTTTAAAATGGTTGTTACATATTTTAAACTATAAGACGTATTGTTATTTGTATAAAATATGAAAGAATAATAGAAATTAATTTTCGAATTAAAAACTGAATGTGTTCAATTAAGCGTTCGATATGGGTCATGGATATGTACTACGTGTGAACCAATATGTCAAATAAACTTCTGATCTGTTTTTTTCTTAAACGGCGGGCACTGAAGATGCCGGAAGTGTTGCTCATTTAACGTTACACGGTGGGCACCTGTGAACCTAAGTCAGCCGCACTTTTGAAACGTTGTTATTTCTTAATTAAATAGACGGACAGTTAATTGCATCGGACTATCGCAATGCAAAACTAAGGGAAGTGAATAGAAGCGATCACAGTTAAAACTGAAGTTGCGGGACTTGATCTTGTCCACGGTTAGGAGATTATTCTACTCTCTCTACCCCAGTACGTCAAGTCTGTACCTTAGTGCGAGCAGTATTACCCACCACACACTGCCATAAATACCCGATCATAGGGTGGGTCACATTCACACATCACACAACAGTAATCAACACACAGGAAGAAACATCCATGCCTTTGTTGGGATTCTAACCTGCAACCATTGGCTTGACCGGCTCTTAATCTAATGTAAAATTGTTGATATAAATCTTAATATATATATTTTTTTTGGAGGGGGTGATCTCCCAGACCGAGTCGACCAAACGTTGTGCAAAGTGTGGAGGTGGCGGGTTCGAATCCAAGCCGTAACCCTGGGTGCATTCTTTGTGTTGTCCTACTCTGTATTGTGCTATCTGCCGTTCTACTTCAAAAAGGCTTATAAGCTTTATTTGAGCACACAAACCGGCATATATACGTTGTACCAATAAATAAATCTTAACATTTTATGCTGGAGATATTCTTATTTCACTAGAATTTGTTTTTCTTCGCATAGTTAGAAGCCTCTCATCTACATTATCGAAATTTTGCTTCTTTCAGAATGTCAAAACCAATATGAAATTTTTGAGAAATTTTTTAATTAATTTTTTATTATTTTAAATTAATATTATCGTATATTTCCGAAAATAAGTTCATAAGACGAAGAGTATGCTTTTGATTTGGAAATCCCCCAAAAATTCAAAACTCGTACGCTAACCGATGTAAAAAGAAAAAAGAAATAAATAAGATAAAATATGCTACACTTGGAAATAAAAAATCTCTTAAGGTAATGGTTGCAAACTGGGAAGCATGGACTTTCCGATGTCGTAATTATATCTTTTAACAAGTGTTACATCACTAACAATATGTCATTTAATTTAATCTATGAAGACACCACTGAAAATGAAGACATCTGAAGTGAGGACGATGCATTACATCCAGATCTTCCGATAACTGAACAGGAATTTGCCTAGCCTCACGGAAACTCTGATTCTGATAAGGATTAGTTGAATTTTAGCGTGTTCTGTTTCTTTTGTTTATGTATTCGCATTGAATTTTAGAGTGTTCTGTTTCTTTTGTTTATGCATTCGCATTTATAAAAACATAGGTAAACTAAAAGATAAAAAAAAATAATAGGATTCTTTTCAAATTGTCCTTTTTATGTGTCTGTTCCCTTTACTTCTAATTGTTACCTTTAAATATTCCGTTTTCAGTTATTATTCTATGCATTGTACGTACGCTTCACGATATTTACAGATTATCGCTAATACTCGACGAAAGAAAAAGCATTTATCTTTGCGATGTCCACCAGGAGTTAGTGGATTCGATTATATTCCCACTCCCTTTAGCTTTCGAAAATTTTCTAAAAATTCTCGGATATATATGGTATTTTGAAATAATTTAATCGTAATCAAATGCAAGATTATCCTAACTTCTAAAGTAAAAACTCATATAAAATGAAACTATCGCTATTATATACATTTACATAAAACATGAGTGCAGGTTTATTTGTTTTTTATAAATTATTCTCAAACAACGTTATATTAGTCTCTTTGGGTAGAAAGTATCTAATCTTTCCCAAAAATTGTTTCATTGAAATAACACAGAAGAACATATTTTTTGTTGGCTTTATACAAATACTTGATGTTGCTTAATTCGAGTGCGAGAAGTTCAAATCTGATATAAGTTTTGCTCCTAGAGTAACTGATTTTTTTAAAAATAGACATTTTTAATCTGCTTTTTTTTCTTCATCGAAACATACAATTTTAAAAGCGTTCTTTATAACAGGCGATAGCATAAATATTGCGACAAATTTTAAGGAGAGTTAAGGCACGTCATTAGAATTAAAATTGCATAAAAACCCATACCCAGAAATGTCGTTACACACTGCTAGGACGGCTATTATGACCTGTTAAAAATCACGTAAAGGAACAGCTCATTACAGCGAAGTTCTCCCAGTGGCGTATGACGATATTTCCGAGCATGAGTTTCAGAGCCATTTTAATTCTAATGATGTGACCTAACAAGGTTGCCGCAACATTTATGAGATTTTCTGTTGTCTATAACGTTTTTAAACTATAGCTTAGGGAGAGATCCTGATTGCGTATTTGAAATCAGCGACATGTAAATATCGAAGATCCGTTAAAAAATCTATTACTATGACGACCGTCAACTCGTTTGTTAATGCATTTTATACGAGGTCATTTTTAATTTATTTTTAACATTTTTTATAGTATGCTTCATAAACATTTTATTACAAGTTCGCTTCGTCATGAGAACTGTTATCATGAACAATTTTAGATATAGCGCGTGAATAAAAGTAGGAATGAGGAATCTAAGGAAACGAATCAATAGGATAAGTGAATAGGTGATTAACAACGAGTCAGCAATAAATATCTGTGAATTTGTTTACTCGAGAGTAATTGAAGAGCATTTTAAAGAATAGTTGAATCTATGAATGAGTTTATAAATGTTTAAAAAATTTTATTAACCCATAATTTGTTTTACGGAAGTCGACGACAACAATTTTGTTAAAAAATAATTTTAAATAAACTGACGCCATATTGAATGCAAAATACGACAATAATTTTTAACGAAAATGAAACCGCAAAAATTTATTGATTGATTGAAAATTGATTTTGAAGAGTCTATAAAACTGTTTGTTTGCCACTGCCATAGCACAAAAATGAATTCTAATGTTTTTATATATTTATATGTCATAGAATATTATGCTCGATTAAAATATTACCTGTCATTAATCATGACAGGTACTTGAGGCGATATTCTTATTAATTAAACTAACAGCTTCTTTAGCCTTGAATGCATGCAACAAGATATTTATCTTGTTCTTATATTTCCTAAATGAACATTTAGGGTTGATTTTTTTATAACCGTCATTGAACAGCCTACCCAATTTTTAGGGTTTACGACTACGAATGTTCAATTCCGTAGCATTGCAATTTTGAACCCAATGCAGAAGACTTTTCTTTTTTTTTAGTTCTACAATTCAGACTTTTTTTCCAAAATTAAGTCAAGGGTGCCGTTTCTGGTATCACCCGGAGCCCGAAAACTCCTTCCGCCGCAAAAATAGTATTAGCATTTTTTTCATTTTCACGTTTTCATTACAAAACAACTATTTTGTTCCTTGAGCACATTTCTAACCTTCTGGATATCAAAAACAATAAATTATCCTTTTTTCAATATCCTAATATTCTGGTATTCCTTTATTTCCTTTGGCATTTAATCACGCTTGATTCCTCATGTGTTCTGCGGCCATTTGTGATCAGCCCTTACAAATTGTCCAGCAGTGTGTGTACCCCAAAGTCGAAGAGTTCGGATTAACCTGTAAAAAGAACGTCCGAAGGTTAAGTTTTTCTAAAATTAAAGCAACTCCACCATATTTTTATGTTAGAAATTTAATTTTTAGTTTCGTTTGAATAAAGCATTTTAGTCCAGCTTTTTCAGCATGATTTTTAACTCGTTAAAATTTCAGACTGTGTTACCTAAAATGCTATCTTTCTTCACTAAAATATTAGTTCACCTAAAAAAATTATTTTTTACAATATTATAGCAGAAAAAAAAAACTAATAAAAACGAGAAAAAAATACTCTTTATTTTCCAAGAGATCATGAAAGCAGCCGTAAATCATCAACTCTTCAAAACTTATTTTTATACACAAGATTAATGTAGAACTTAAAAACGGGCCTTCGATAGAATTTTTCATAAAAAACACTTTTTCAAAGTCAACTTCAATTTGGCACCGGTCCCTACAATTACGTATTTTCTCCCACTTCCATTGTTCATTACGTGAGAAATACTCTTAAAAACACTGTAATAAACTGAAGAACAAAACGGGAAACGTCGAAAAGAAAAAAACTATTTTGAGATAGTTTATTCATGTCAGTTACCTCAACTGAAGTGGGAAAAGATAAACGCTGACTGTCGCTCGTGAGGGCACCTTTCAGAAAGGTAGGCTGGTAAAAAATGCATCCCCTGTTTCGTCGCAGTTGGTGGCGATAGTTTTGTGTGCACTGGATTAATGCTTCAAATTTTGTAACAGCTTTTGCCATGTGCTTGGTGTGAGTAGTACTTCAAAGGGCAAAATTGGATATTACACTTTATACCAGGTAAGTTTAAGTATTTAAAGTGACAAAAATTTTATAACTAACTTCATTTGAAAATACAATTAAATCATTTTGCAATAAATGCAAAATATTTTGACATTTATGTATGTTTGGCGTTTAGTGCTGCAAATTTTATTGTTAACTGATTTTGAAGTGTGCTAAGCGTAAGTGGTATTTCAAAGTGCAAAATTTTATTTTTTACTTTATCGGAATAAGAATTTTAACTTTAATATCTGTAACCAAACTTTAAATAAATCATTTATTTTTAATTAGAGTTAAAAATGTTATTAAGATGAGATTCAAGTTCCAAATTTTGTAACAGCTTTGCCATGTGCTAGTAATAAGTGATACTTTATAAGGCAAAATTGGATGTTATATTTAATTAGAAGTAAGTTTTAAAATTTAATATTTAAAATGGTAAAAATTTCGCAAAAAACTTTTACTTGGAAATTAAATTTAATTATCTCCGAACTAATGCGAAATGTTTCATTTAAACGTCATTTCCTTTGTAGACTGGGTGCATTATTTTGATAATTAAGAAAATAAATAAATTAAAAGTATACAAATATAAATAAATAACTAAAATGAAAACCGTGCTTATATTTATGCAAAATTTCGAACTTGTTGACTGTATTTTACGTATGGGATTTTGAGCTGCAAATTTTATTAACTGATTTTGCCATGTGTTTAGTGTAAGGGTTATTTAAAAGTAAGTACAAAACCTTATATTTAACTAAATCGGAAGTAAAATTGTTCATTTAATATTTGAAAGCAAAATTTAAATTTGTTATTGTTTTCAATATTATAATTAATAAATGACTCGTATTTCGAAGTGCAAAACTTGATATTACGCAAAATAAAAGCTTATATATTACATTCACACAAAATTTCGAGTTTTTTGACAGCTTTGTACGTGTAAGAGTTAGGGTTGAAAATTTTATAGTAACCGATTTTGCTGTTATTTAGTATAAATGAAATGTCAAAGTGTGAAACGTATGTATCAAATTTGACATTTGCTTAAGTACAAAGTTTGATATACGTCAAAATGCGAAACTTGTTATTGAAAACCTGTTAAACTAAAAACTTGAAATGGTACTAAATCAAAGAGTGAAATATATATATTTTTTTCATAAAAATTTTGAGTTTGTTGACAATTTTGTATGCATGGGATTTAAAGCTGCAAATTTTAAAGTACCAGATTTTGTATTACAAGTTAGTGTAAGTCAGTGTTTCCCAAACTGTGGTACGCGTACCCCCAGGGGTACGGGAACAGTTTAGTGGGGGTACGCGTTCTAATGCGAAATATCTTGCAACAAACGAAAATTTCAAAAAATTTTATTAAAAAGCAAAGCTAGCCATGAAAATTTAAAATTACGTATTTAGCTATTGGCTATTTTTTGCAGAGTTAACAGTTAATAATTAGTGGTGTTAACAGCCAGTTGTGGTTTTTAACTTTTGTGCAATTTTTTTATAGTAGAAAATACATAAATTTTTTTATTAGTGGTACACAGCGTTAAGAAAAATTTGGAAAGGGTACGCAGAAGCCATAAGTTTGGGAAACACTGGTGTAAGTGATATTTTAAAGTGTAAAAAATATTACACTAAGTAAATTTAGTAAATCCAACCAAATTTCATTTAAAAATAGAAATAGTTCTTTTTTTTTTTTTTTTAAATTCATTTTAATATTATTCATTTAAACTGAAAAACAGTTTATAAAAATTGGCAGTTCAAGCGGCGGGGAAAATTAATATATTTTGGAAATTCTTTCAGCAAAACAATGAATCAACAAATTAACTACGAAAAATTATTTTTCCTAAAAGATACAAAACAAAATGGTGGGTGTAGTAGTTATTCATTTACGTCGCATTAAAGGTGCGCATTGAGCTATTGGCGACGGTCTGAGAAACATGACTGAGGACGATCCGAAGATATGCCATCACAAATTTTGTTCTTCTGCTGAGGTAATTGCTCTCCCGCTTTTGATAGATAGTGAAGTCGAGCACTTAAGGGTGGAACTGATCACAAGGATCAACACCGCACACCCTCGGTCACTTCGCACTCTGACCAAAGTGGTCATCCACCCCTCACTCACTGCAGCCAGTCATGCTTGATTTTGGTAATCTACTGGGAACTGTGCTTTACGATTGGTCCTCTGCTCGACAATGGCGACTGTTCAGTTTTTCTACGGTGAAACTTTTCCTTCTGAAAAATCCCCGGAAAATTTTGTATTAATTGTGTTTTATTTAATTTTTTCGCTACGTAAATTAAAGGATCACAGTTTAAGTGTTTTTCACTCTGTAACGCCTTGATGGCTCAGTGGTTAAGGCACTGAACTATCATTGTGATGGACAGGGGTTCATTCCCCAGTGGCGGCTTGTGGCCTACTTATCTTCAGATTGATGAGTACCAGCTTGCCTGGGAAGAAAAGGCTACCTGTGCACAATGCTGATCACATTTCCCCAATCATGTCGTTGGTCATGAAACTGTAAGGCCTTATTCTCCATGGATCCCTGGCTCACTGCCGGCTGTTGCGGAAATGCTGTACTCTATTTACACTTGGTTAAAGCTATATTTTTAAGCTATGTATACCATCTTGCCGTAAGGAATTACCTGGGGATGGATTAATGGCTTATTTTAAAAAAGCTATAAAACTTTTTAGAAATCTCGGTGAGATTTTCTCCCTCGATGAAAAATCATTTAAATCAATAATTAATTCTCAATTTTTGAAAAATTTTCACGAGCCCAGGTAATGCAGCAAAGAATAACTTTTTAAACTATTTTATTTAGGCTATTCTTATTAATGTTTGGCGCCATTTTTAGAGTGAGGTGAATAAAGCTAAACTCAGTCACAAATGACTGCTGCCCACTCAAAAAGCTTTGGAAAAAGCATATTATTTGCAATAAAAAAATGGTTTATTTAATGCAACAACAGAGCCATCGAAAAATGGCATTAAAAATTATGTAATATGCTATAGTAAGATGAAACAATCCTATATATTTCTGCAAAGAATATAATCTCTCTCTATAATATATCTATTATATATAATTCTCTTACGTGGCTCCCAAATTTTGGCTGTATTTCTTTTCCGCCGGTGGCAACGTTTGCTTTGTTTTGAAAACACCAAAGCATTCTGCCTTTTAATGATGTGTTTCTGATCTAATATATATAATTCTCTTACNTGTTTGCAATTTCAAATTAATATTGAAATGTACAGGTTTAGAATTTTCTACAGTGAAAAGTTTTCGGAACTTCAGTATTCAAAAAAGTATACAAAAACTAGACGTTAAGAACGTATCCAATGAGCGAGCAAAGCGAGCATTGGATTGCGAAGCAATCCGAAATGAACTGTGAAAGCAGTTCCGGGGGTTGGTGAGCGCCAGCGAGCAGGGGGCGAAGCCTCCTAGTATATATATATATACAATTTCCCTTATGTGGCACCATAAACTCGTGTGTTTCTCTATCTATTGGCAGCACCATAGTTTTTAGTGATTTTGTTGGGTTGTCTTAAGTAATATAGTTTAAGTAGTGTTGAATAGTTAGTTATATATTAAAATATGCATGCGTTAGTTTAGTTAGTTATACATACAAACCTCTCGAGTCATTAAGATTGAATCCTAGAACATGAAAATCCGATCATTACATAAAAGGTTATTTAAGGTGGTCCGTTTTATTTTGGCGCATTGTGCAAAAATCATTCTTGAAATTGATTTGAATTTATTAGAAATCATTTTTAGCATAACTGTTATTAAAAAGTAATAATCTATGCATATAAAAGCTTAACGTAACACTGGAGAAAGGGCTGAATTTGTTTCGTTCCGGTAGCAACGGTAATGAAATAATTGCATTAAAAAATAAGAATTCAAATAACTCATAAAATGAAAGCAGTTTGTTACACCGCAATGGCCCAATTAATGAAGTTTAAAGATCTGTTCACCAGGTGATTGTTTAATCCGGTTTTATTTTATTTCCAATAGGCAACAGTTAAGAGTGACAAAATTTTTGGATAAATTTATCCCGCTTAAGAATCTGTGGAATTATAATCCTTTTTGTTTTATTCAAATCACAACCAATCAAAATACATAATTTTGAAATATGCGTTATCGTATGCTTACAAGTGACGTCATGATTGAGTAAATTGTGGCATTTCTTTATCCCTTGAATAAGCAGCCAATCTGGATAAACACAGACGCGTGATGTAGGCATCTAATTGAATCTTATCCGAATATTGATTCAGTGTAATAATAAATAAAGCCTAATGACTGTAACAGCAACACGCCATGCACAAGCCCGTGATTAGGCACAACCATGTGATTTCAGCTGTATTCTTCGTTTCAAATTTGAAGAACCAAATAAAGAAAAGAATTGAAAGTGACATATAAATAATCATTTGCGATATTCATCATAATTTTGAAACTTATTATTCAATATTTTAAATTTTATTGCTCTTACCAGTTCGAAATTTAATTTATAGCTTATAAGCTTGCTCTCTGAGTAATGTCGAAATGTCTTTCGATCTATGCATGTGCATAGGCCAAAAAAATCTAAGGTCTATGCACGAGCATATTACCTAAACAAGAATGCTAGACTATTGTGATCGAGTGAAAATCATGAGCAATCGAAACTATCTACAGCAAAATCCGCAGCCGGGGTTGGCAATTGATAGCGAACACGTTTGTAAGAGCCCTGGTATATGCTTGAATAAGTCAATGAGAATCAGTTTTAAGTTTTTTCTTAGAAAATTGTTGATTATAGTTTTGGCAATCAGGAATTGTGCTATCGGGAATTGTGCTATCAGGAATTGTGCTATCGGGAATTGTGCTATCAGGAATTGTGCTATCGAGAATTGTGCTATCGGGAATTGTGCTATCGGGAATTGTGCTATCAGGAATTGTGCTATCGGGAATTGTGCTATCAGGAATTGTGCTATCAGGAATTGACTATCAGGAATTATACCAAATTATACTGAAAATAGTTAATCTTTATTTTGATAGGATGACATTGT